CCAAGTACTTCCAGGGATCCTATGACCTTGGCAACGAATGCTACACCAAATACCTCAAGACCATACTGGAACCCGATGTATTCCGCACTATATTCGGAGATGATCCCACAGAGGAACGGGTAGGTGACATGGTGGAGGCGTTGCTGGGCATGTTCGAAATTGCTCAACTCTTCAGACACCTGTTCAGAGGATGGGGTGATATCGAAGCTTTGAGGACGGGATTAGAGGAATCCATCAAACGCGTCACTGCATCGCTGTACGACAGGACAACGTATGAGAACCGAAAGCGATCGATGATTAGAACCATGGACCCGCACTCTGATGAGGCGGCAAACGTGGCGCTGATTCTCGTTCGCATGAGGACTATGCCGCCTCCTGAATTCGACATCGACCACTTCTTCGAAATTGGGAAAGAACCAGAACAGGGAACAGAAGCCACTGACCAGCCCGAGGCCGATGGTGTCGATATGGAGACTGCATTTGGACAGGAGAAGGAGGACCAGGAGCAAGATGTTGACATGTCCGACCCGAAGACATCAATACTGCAAGCCATCGACGAATTTGAGAGGAAGATCGGGCAGGCAGAATTCTGCATCCACTGCATGAAGTCGGGACACACAACTCTCAATTGCGAGAAGAACCTTTCATCTTCACCTTCAGTCACCTCGGTGTTGAGTGATTGGAAGAAGAGAGTGAAGGGAGAGATCGCACCCGACGATGTACCATCTGGACATCCAACCGAGGAGCCTAAGAAGAAGAAGCAGAGAGCATCGCCCACTCCAGAAAGAAAGGTCGACAGCGAGTTCAAGCGCAAAGAAATGTTAAAAGCAAGAGTCGTGACAATGTTCGACCATGACGGATTCACCTTGATCGAAAGTGCTGATGGAGTCGAAGGAGGACCACATTCCTACAATGGGCGGAAGCTTGTGGAAGCAGGCCCTAAGGATATGAAGCAGGTGTATGAATTTGTCGAGAAGGCATTTGTGCACTCCAGCTCCCTCACACCAAAGGCATGTCATCACTTCTACCCCCTACCAACACGGAAGGAGAAGGGATACAAGCCAATCGACCCCATGACGATGGTCGGGAAAGTTGAACTAGTACCGATCAACGGAGTCACTTTCGCTGCAAAGAACTCCGACTACGGCAACCACAAGTATCCGACTCCAGACTGCCGAGTACCTGAATACAGCCAAGCGAGCCAGACCCTGAGTCGTCGATTGGGAGCGAAGTTGAGACATCGAATTGGACGCCAGTTCAGGACAGGAGGAAGACTCGCACCAATCAAATGCGATGAAGGTGCATGGGTGTCATGGGAAGACCTGTTAGGTGATAATGCAGTTTGGGAAGACGGTTATCACTACGGCAACATAGATATCGTGACCAAGAAGGCGCGTTTGGAGAAATACTTCGACCAAAACTATGAGTGTTTCCGCATAACCAAGAGGGTCAGATTCCAAATGTTGGCGGTCCGTGTTCACCCTGATGAACTCAATGAGCCTGATGACCCGATGGAGAAGGGATGGATTAACGAACTCAAGGACATGGGAATCTCCAAAGGAAGACTCCACCATAGCGATGGATGGTGCTTTCCCGTGGCTGTAAGAGCAACCTCGGCACACTCAACGGACGGCGGAGGTTATGACGTTACCATTGACATCGACCACATTGGGTCGAGGATGACCAACGACATGGCCCTATCTATGGTGACTGCATTTCACGCTACCAATCTCGGAGCGCTGACTTCAATCATGCGACGAGGGCTAGTGCCGGGAGGTCTCGGATCATCGGGAAGGGATTCTATCCACTTCACATGTTTTCCGCCATGGGCCTGGGAGCAGGGCTACAAGGGTAAACCTTGGCTGGGTCGTAAGGTCGCATTGAGTGATCGCCCAGTGGTTCTCTACATTCCGGTGTGGAAGCTGCAGGAGTACGGACTTCTCATCTCAGCAACTGGCTCTCTATTGGTTGAGAACGTCGTTCCCTTCGATGTGGTTAAAGGGGCATGGTTGCAATGCGACAATGCGGAACCCGGACAGCCTGAGGAGATCAAATGGATCCGGTTACTCAATGGGGAACCCGACCCTGGAAGCTACCTTGTTCTGGAGTCCAAATACGGAAACCCGATCATGATTCCACGCTTTCAAAAGCTTGAGAGTTTAGCGGTTGAGGTCCTAGACGATACCTACTCCGAGGACGACGCCAAAATCTCAAAGCTGTTGGGTATGATCGAGGAGAATGGTGTTTACCCAGAATATGATAGCACCGAGTGGCAGGAACTCTTCGAGGAGATCGTGTACCGCCGAGCGATGAAAGACTACGATTCAAGGCCGTGTCCTAACTGTCTTGGCGAAGTCGATGTGCGATTGACGATATGTCCGCACTGCGTAGCGGTTTTGATCGCGAATGGAAAGCTCACACATGTGGTACCCAAGGAGACAAGGGACCGCAATCAACGATCACCTCCGAAAGATGTCCCAGCCAGTTCTTCCGGTGAAACAACTTCTGCTGCAGGTGCAAACATCGATGAAGTCATCAAGAATGCACGCAAGACAGCCGAAGAGGTCATTGAGATCGAGGAATCCGAAGGAGAGGAAGAGGAGGAAGTTCCTATCATTTTGAAGGAACGACCGGACGAAGCTGAAGGCGAACCCGAATATCGGGAGGTCCCTCAAGATGGATACGGGAATGAACTTCCGAACCCTTTCCCCTTCGCGATTGACGAATTGCCGCAAGAAGCTGCGATCCCAATCGACCACAACTTTGCCGTCACACAGCAATTTGATTTGAGGTTGATGAAGTTGATCAAGAGCTTGGCCAACGCAACGTTCGACATCAACTGCTTTGAAAGTCGTGAAGATGTACTGCGAATGTTCGACGATGGACAGCGGCATGACACTCCGCACAATAGATGGCCGATAGTACCGAATGATCCGGATACTGGGTTTCCAAGACGTCTCCAGAGAGCCGAGGTCGTAGGCATGAGCAGATGGACCGACGACGTGTATGCAGCAGAAGCGTGGCAGATCTATGAATTCCACGCCAATGTTGTTCATCCGATGATGATCACTGCAATCCGCTGCGGGCTTAGCCACAAGTACCTCAAAGAGGTCGGCAGCACTCAGCGCAGCATGAGTGATCCAAAGGCTCGAAAGTCTGAGACCCAGGATGAGATCATCGAGAAATTGGCATTCATCTCAAATTTCATCAGACGCTTGATCAAGAAGACCTTCGGAGCGAGCCGATACAGTTACTACCAGAAACCAGATGACGAAAGTGTCGCTCCATACAAATTCATCGACATTAGTCCCGCCATCAAATCGGAGAGGAAGAATGTCACGAAGGAGATCCTCGTTGCATGCCGCTACTATGGCATAGAGGTATCCGATGTCCAAGAAAGGAAATTGAAGTCCTTCGAGGAGCAGATCCGAGCGGGAAATCCAAGGAACGTTGAGCTCATCAAGGACTACATTGGCTTTGTCGGCGCTGACTACATGCGACAACTCACGAATGGTTGAGTATTGGGGTCATACCGACATGCCACTTCCGGTACTTCAAGTACTGAGGGATCTTGGGTAATTCATGATGACCGTTTTGGCATCGTGGGAGTGAGATAGGATTGTGTTTCACACCGTTGGTAATCGCATGATACCATAGGTAGGTGCACGTTTTCCGCTTGTAGCTCCATTGCCTGTTTGATCCAACTTTCAAGCGAATGCAAGATCTTTTGCTAATTCAATTCAATAGGACATACTGGTTGACCTCCAATACACTTTTGAGAACGTGATTCGTTCTCCGGTTTTTACATCCACTCATCTCCCTTCCCCGTCGAAGTACGGATGTGGGGGGTGTCAATAGGGATGGGGTCCCAGTATAGTCGCTATACAGGTACATGCCATATACTTTTGGCTCAAGTGCCCAACCAGGTAAAAGGGAGCTTTAGCGCGCGAGCTTCATGTTGACCTAAGAGCTAGAACGGGGCCAGGGCACACCTTTCCATCCGTTCGCAAAATATTCCATGTCCCAACCTTCAAAAACCAAACATCAGCCACTCAGATTCGGCCACTCAGCCTGGCTGGGGCAGCCACACTTCTGACCGCTCATAATGGCAGATGGTGGCGAGGACCACCGGCCCAGTCCGGGAGAGTGCTTCTCGCGGGCCACGCGGTTTACGCCGTTCACGCCGGGTGGGAGGTGGGCCGTTCACGTTGCGGACGGCGATCCTGGAGTCCAATGGGACACACCGTGAGAGGCGGCTTGGTCCCCGACACATTCCGAGGCTCAGATGAAAAGGCATTGAATGCATAGAACATTAGGTGGACCCATGGCATGCCCCTGATTTTTGCTTCAAAGTGCGAAGACCCAGAATCCGTTGGCGTTCACTTGTTTGGATCGCCGCTCGTGAGTATGTTGTAGTTTTGAGCTCAGATCCACAGTAGATGTTGGCTTTGGGCGGTTCCATGTCGCTTCCTGATTCTTTTCGACACACACGCACGAGCAGAGTGGTGTTTTTCAACTCGTAGGCTTGGAAAATCTGTGAACAACTCCAGACATCGTCTTGAAGAGCAGGCTTTATAAGATCAGCTTGTCGTTGAAAACTGTAAACCCAGCGACAATCTCAGTGAATTGAGTCGAGAGCATCCGGCCTCCTTCATGTTAGGACTGCGCTTGCTAGAACGTCCTACGTCGCAACAAAGAACATCAAAGAACGCACGCAGGACTTGCAGCCATTTGCTTGCTTGAAGGATTACATGTTGGGAAAACAAACAGTTTCCTGTTTCCGTGTGGAACACCATCGGTTGCAAACGATCAAAGCTTTTACCATCATCCTTATTGTGAAGAAAGAGCTTCTTGCTTTTCAACATAAAACATGAGGAGATATCACTCCCATTGGATTTGACTGCGCAAGAAGCCCCTTGGAGTCCCATGCCGGAGTTCCTGACAAAATCAGCAAGATTGGTGAATGATTTGAATACGTTATAATACACAGAATAAGAAACCTATACCACATCAGGGGCCACGGGTGTGAGGGCGGGGCCGTTTGCTCGCTGGAAAACACTTCCGACCTGCAAGGCGGGCAGAGTCAGTCAAGTGCTATTGGCTTGGGAGGTTAGAAGATTACAGATTGCTGGACATGTGGAATTCTTTGGAGTGCGACTTCTTTTCGCCACGGTGGTTGAACCTGTTTCTTCATGTGATTTCCCGGAAAAGGGAGCCTCAAGGAGCTACGGGGCGGTTTTTTCAGCGAAAAAACACAGGGTAGCGATGTTGTTGTTTGGCAATCAAGAAGACCCAGGCCCAGAAGCGGCGAAGCACGTCACGCCCACGACACCCACAAGTGTTTGTGCCCACAAGAAGCGCAACCAGCTCATTCTACCAGCCTTTGGGAAGACTTGAAATTGTGTCTAATATTGATATATATATAACATATTAAACTATATATATAGTTTGGACATCAATAGCCGCCACTACGATCAGGATCGATACAGTCCTCATGTTGAGATACTCAGTCTTATACTCCATGCCCTGTTGCAAGGCCATGACGATCTATAGTGCCTTGTCAATGAGAGGGCAGCCACAAAGCATCCCAAACCAGTCCGTCATTCACGCAGCCTTGCATGTGGACTTGGATGGTGGATGTACAATTTCGAACGCCTGCCAACATCGCAAATCTCTTTACATTCCTCGGAAGGACAAACATGAAGTTTCAGACGGGACAGAGCTGGAAGCTTTGATCCTTTTCCGTTCAAAGTGGGCACCTGGTTTTGCCATGTTTTGCTTAGGGTGAATGTTGATGAATGTTGATTGTCCACGGTTGTCCCCAAATGGCTCAATCCCCTTGTGGGGTATATGTTTGATTGTTGTTCCCGGTTCCCGGCGGCTTATCCAAGGGTAGCTGTCGGACAGCTGTCGTTCTCCAGGGTCGACCGATGTGGGCAAGACATGAAAGGAGACTCAAGCGCATCCAAGAGGTTGAAAGGAATACGTCATTTGAGAGACTAGTGTGTCCTTTTCTATCATTCGCGTTGCTGAAGTGTGGGTGTTTGTTTTTTCATCTCAAAGAGGACCACAGGTGCAAGGGAGTAGACATCAAAGTAGGTCACGACTTCGCTCCTGTTTCTTACGCTTGGTCACTAAGAACCTTGGAACCCGGCAGTGGGCGGTGTTGCTTGTATCCGAGCGCCAAGATGTCGCGTGTTGCACCTCTCGACCGAGTCTGTCAGCGGTTTGCCATCGACTCAGGCGTGAACTCTCCGAAGTTTCACGCCTTTCTCAAGAAGCCACTGGGAGAAACAGGAGAATGGAAGGAGGGATAGGGATCAGGTGTCAAAGAGATACCAGATATGACAGGTTCCCAGGTGTTGAATGTCAATGTGGAACGCAAGTACTGTAGTAGGACAGCAGCTGGAGATCCTAAAAGTCCTCGACTCTATAGGCTTTGTTGTATCGGGTTATAGGTTTTGTTTGATGTGCGTTGAGGATTCCAGTTTTCACTTGCTGCATTCTTTCGATGCATCACACATGTGTGATCACACAAGTACACATCTCAACTCATGCATACTAGTTTGTGTTCTCTTGAGTTGTAAATGCTCAAGGTGTAGAGGCTGCCCCTGACAGATCATCGAGTAGTAAATCTTTGGGATCCACACATCGACCGAACGGCGGAAGCCTCGTCTCCCAGGAAGGCCTTCGTCACCAGCAAGGACGGCGCGAGCCGCGGAGCTCCACAGACAGAGAGCGGACACTGTTTCACAAGGCTCATGGACCCTCCAAAGAGGCTAAATGTTTTGAGGATGAGGATCCAATTCTACCCTCCCTGAAACAATCATGCCAGGCTCGCTGGTGCTTAGGAGGAAGCTAAAGAGCCCAGCACTGTCCATATTCCGATCAGGGAGCTGAGAAGCTACAGGGAGTCCACGCAAAAAACTTGCTAGCTGCAGCTGCTTAGCTGCTAGTTCGGAGATTCTAGAACCATCTAGAATCTAAAGACGAGAGTGGGGTTTCCGCATGTGTCGGCTCCTTCCAGGAGCTCCGAGCTCGGAACCTCCATTTCGCAGCGTGTCGGTTCATTGACCTGTGGATTTCGAAGTCTCGGCTTCCGGAGGCGCCTGTTCTTGCCATTTGTGAGGACAATAGTTTGCCCTTAAAGATGCCGGAGAAGTTGGAGCCACCAGGCGGCTCCGGCCTGTGTGGTTGAGCCATACGGTTGAAGCAGCTTGCCTTCGAGGTTTCATATGGTTTCATCATCCCATTTTATATGATCGTAAATGGCAGGCTTGCCATTGCCCCCTAAAAATTGACTGGATTCATAGTTGAGGTGTAGGAATTTGTTGCAAGGGTTTGCAAGGGGGCGGCACTTGTCAATGCAGGATCCCCAAAGCAAGAATTGACGCACTCTCCAGGGTCTGGCGTGGATTCGATGACTTTTGGAGTGACTAGCAGTATCTCGCAGTAGGGAGGCCAAGTTGAAGCGGGCTTGTGGACAGTATATAACTGACCGTCTCCATGTGGTTTCTTCGGATCGTTTATGTGGTGCGCTTTGACTCCCTCAAGTGAAGACCATCGACTGTACGAATAGACGTGATTACCCGGGCATCGTTCGCAAGAGAAAACACATGCACCAATGTACACCTTCAGGCCAACCAATTATTTACAGTTCACCACGGATGACCATTCACATCCATGTTGTTTATGCAGAGATGGTTTAGGATTGTGTTTCAGCAGTCTTCAAGTGTCATGTCATGTCATATGGTATTTCAATTAAGTTTAATCTGGTTGGATTCGCAACAGGTTCAACATGTGACGGCTGTTCTTCCAGACTTTTTCAATTCCAGCTATTGCTCTTGCTGCCTTCTCAACTTTGGTTAACAGTCCAAGCGTTCCCGATGTGTCAGCACATTTGTGTTTAATGCCATACATGGTTTGTATATGTCAAGTTCATTCAAGTTCCATGTTCACAGTATGTTCATTATGTTTTCCGGCCAATGTCCAACAAAGATGACATATTGTGAGCCCACTAATTCAGGTTGTTCCCCTTCCCTTTGGGAATATACAACTCTACCCAACGGATACTGTGCATCGACTGGAACTACAATGACATATATTTTGCCACACGCCGTCCAGGCATGTCACCACTGGGCAAAGCGGCCTGGGATGGATCCCTCGACACCTGCCGTGCCCTTCAATTGTAACAATTGGACCAAGAAAGATACTGTCGGTTGGTCCCTCTGGTCACTAGGTCAGGTCACCTTGCAACAAGAAACACCTGTGACAATTGGAGTCTTTGTGTGGCAAGGCCGACAAAAGGTTCCTCCGACCAACCCTCCTCGTATAGCCCGGCTGTGTGGCATTGAGTCAGCCGTTTCCTGTAGAGATGGAGATGGTTGGAGATGGACATGGAGATGCAGTCTCCCCTTTCTAAGGGGATATTCACCAAGCATTCCATGTTTTTATTGCGGGGAACTACTTCTCCAAAGATCCACATCTGAGTTTGCAGCACTGAAGGTCATACTAAGATGGGGAACAATGACTCTGTGTCCATTCATCAGGTACATTGCTCGCTGAGAAAGCAGATCTCGAAGCCAAAGACGCTGCAGGGCGCAGTGTGCTCTCGCTCGCAGCCGCCAGCGGCAGGCAGGGTGGGAAGCACCAGGAGTCGGTTTATGGGTCAAAGGTTTCAGTTTCAGGTGGAACAAGGTGCATCGCTACTAGTCGCCAGAAGGGTCCTTGTTACTAGTAGCGATGCGCCTTGTTACTAGAAGGGTCCTTGTTACTAGTAGCGATGCACCTTGTTACTAGAAGGGTCTTTGTTGCTAGTAGCGATGAACCTTGTTACTAGCATGTGTGGGATCCAAAGATTATCCATGATTCTTTTCCATGGAAAAGTTACAGGGTGTTGTAGTTGGCCCAGAAAGAACGGGCGACTCCTCTCATAGAACAATCTTTACGTGCCTCAGTAGATTCTTGTTCATTCACCCATCTACTGCACAAAACGGCTTGTCACTCCATCCCTTCAGCTTGTAACTCGATGATTCCTACACCCCTACGCTAGGCGTGAGGTGGTGAGACTCTTGCTGGAGCAGTGCCTCGGAGACGATGTGCCTCGCGTAGACGTCGACTCGCTGGTGGCGACATCGAGTCGTCTCGAGTCATCCAGGCATTTCGGAGAACACGCGTTGCATCATCCAGGTATTGTCCGGACGTGTTTGTTTTGGCATTCAGTGAAAGCTGAGTGGATTGGTGAGCCATTGGGCAGATGGCACTGATGCCCTGAGAAAGAATAGTGGTACTCGTAATTAGAGAGAATGACTCGGTCTATTTGGACGCTCCAAATCAGTTTGTTTGAGACTCAGATCTCGTAGAAGTTGTGACCTCCAAGCTCTTGGCCAGTATTTGGAAGGTCCTGGACTGGGTGTCCGGTCCTCGCGAATCGCCTTCTTCGGTCCAAGCAGTTTACAGTCGCTTTTCATTACGATCACAGGGTGAAGGGCAGGAACCCCCACAGAAGAAAACTAATGTAGACTCTTGATCAGTAAAGACCTCCTGTTTGGATGACAAAAACCGTTCAAAAGGGTTTTTAACAAAATCGAGAGGTCTAAGTTGCTCTTCTCTTCGGCTGTGGCGGCCTGAATCGGTCGTCTCACCCAACCCACCATTGGCCGGTCGTTCGACGAGTGGACATGTGGCAGATTCGTGGTGGATGACACTGTGGCAAATGAAGCTAATCCACCAGCTGGAATGAGACCAGATAGAGCCCAATGATCCCAATGCGTCAACAATAGCGTGTGAACTGTGAACTAGAGGTTCCATTTGTTTTGTCGAGATTGCTTTTCAACGCTGCCCTTGGCTTCGGCTCGCCAAACACCCTTCGCTCTTAGGAGAGCCCAGGTGGAGGTGCGACTCGCTGCGGATATACCAGCTGGTGGAGCCAGATGCGTCATCATGAGGGATCCTCATCATGGGACATCACAAAATGACAACATGTGTGGTCAGTGGTCATTGAGTTTTGTTTATGGGGTGGAGTGAGTGGAGTCATGTGGAGTACCAGCCATTGGTAAGAATGCTGTTGTTTTGGAATTTGGAGAGTGGGTGCATGCGATGAAGTCATGATCTCCTGAAACCCAGAGACCCTTTTGAAAGTGAATACATTAAATGATCCGTTTGCAAAACACTACTTTTCCGCAACTCCTAAACCCTACACCAAATCACTTGGAAAGAACATTGACCTTCATCTAGCCTTGAGCCATCAATCCTAAGCCAAAAACAGCACATCTGAAGGAAACCACCAAGGCCAGGACCAAATTCTGGGGCGTTCAATCCTCTCACCCGAGCCCTTCTTCCCGGAGGCGGCCGACCGGGGCGGGTTGACGGCGCTGCATTGGGCCGCCAAGGAGGGAAAGATCTCAGAGGCGGGAAGCAGCGATTGTTTGCACAAAAAAGTGGACCATCTGGAGGACCCTCGGGAGGACCCTTTGGAGGACCCTCAGGAGGACCCTTTGGAGGACGAGTTTGGGGGAGTTGGGCTCGGTGCTTGCAAAAAGCATGAGGGGCGGCGGATCGTTTGGAGCTCAGGAGCGACGATTCGGGGAGTTCACCAGATTTTGAGCCAATTATCGGGGAGACACCGGGGGAAAGGCAGAGCAGTATGATGCAGTATGTGCCATGGAGTCTCAAAGTACCTCAGAAAATGGGTACTAGTACCTGTCCTTTATGGGGTCATATCCTATTTTCTAGGGTAAATTTGAATGGTTCAGGTATAGGCATGCATAACAGCGGCCCTGGTATAAGTCAACTAAGATTGTTGAGTTGATGGTTGAATAATTGTTACCTTTGGAAGCTTCTAGGTGCAGAGTAGAGTTGTCCTAGAATTGGTGATGTTTAAGGGAACTCTGCAGGAAACCCATGGTTACCTAGTTTGGGGAGTGTCACGGTGAACACCATGGTTTGCTGTAGGTTTCCCCATGGTTTTCCCTTATGAAGCAACAGGTCAGATCCTGCTCCGTGTGATCCATCATTCACCCCGTTCAACACCGTCAATACACCATCCCGTCAAGCATGAATCCGCTGATGGAGAGCCCGCTCTCCCGTTGTCGCGTGCCACGTGTACCGACGGTTTCGCCGTTACGGGTAACTCGTTCGGCGGACGGTGTTCGCGTCGAACGGGTCGAGTTGGAGGTCCAAGATCTCTTAGATGCCAATGCCAACCTCAATGCCGCTGACGAGGCGTGTCTCTCATGGAGACCCAGGGCGCGTGTTGCCCCGGTGGGGGGTTTGGGGAAAACCCCGCGGCACACTTCAAGTCATGTTTGGGTTTGGGTCATACGGGACGTCATACGCCGATCTTCCAACGTTCTTTTCGCCCGCGGACGCCGCTGAAAAGAACAACACGGCCAGGAGGGGATGACCGCCGTGAAGCTTGCGGCGATCTTCAATCGTGTGGAGGCTGTCTATGGCCGAAACTGTTGTCTCTATTAAGATCACACATCATATCACACTGATAACATGTGAGATTTCCAAGAGAAAGTTTCATGTTGTGCCAGGGTGCTTCCATTCCTGTCAGACCTCTGCAATGGATTTTATACCTTACATAAGTAGCTGGTGCCGTATTGGTTCTTTTTAAGAAGCATCTTGGACGATCGGAAGAACGTGAACTTCATTGACGAACATGCGAAAGCACTTCTGCACGATCATGCGAAAGCACTTCGACCGATTCCTCATGCCTTTGGACTGCGCTCCGACCCCGTCCGACCATCGCCAGGTGCTCCGCTGCTTGGTGGACCGCGGCGCCGATGCCCAGGAGCCCTTGGAGCTGGCGAAGAAGTTGCCCCGATCCGCGGAGCTTGGAGCTCTCAGAGTGGGAAGAGAGATGAAGAGAGGAAGAAGTCGGCTGAAGTCGGGTAGATTTGTTGAAACACATGTTGCTGCAAGGGTCCATGTGTTTTTGGTTTCAATCGTTTTTTTGGTCTGTTTGTGGTGCAGGAGATTGCAGGAGAGTACACGTGTTGTTGTGATAGATTGATATAAATTAAAGCGAAAGTGATTTGAGTCATCATGGTATCACAAAGAAACACATGTTTCATGGCTGGGGTGTCATGTGGTTCTATAATGTTCTATGACATGACTTGATAACAAACCAAGAAAAAAACACACCTACTGTCACTCTGAAAGAGAACAAAGGGAATATCACTTTTCCGAATGACACTGCTGTGTGTTTTTTGTTTATGCTGCTGAACATGGGTTCGATCCCCCAATCTGTCCGCTGCCAGTCAACCGATAGGTTTGGCCGGCCAGGCAAGTGGCAAATTCAAGATGTGTAGAATTGGTTAGATCCACAAGCTGTTCAACAATGCAGAACGTTTCAATTGAAATCCATGTTCATGAGTTTGTCCGTTGGATGTTTTGATATTTATTGCCTATTGCGCTTCTTGCTGTACTGGCTACTTGTTTAATGTTCACATCCCACAAGTTCTGCCATACTGTGTCATTGCACAGAAACATGGAGTGCATGAATTTGGCTTTCATAGTTCTGGGTTTTGATGCCACTGCTTTGTTACCTGCATATCCCCTCATCTCGTGACTGTTCGTGTATTCAAAGCTTTGAGAACAAGAGTTCGGCACTCCCATACACGACCGCATACGACCTGAAGATTCCTGGGAAAAGTAGTTTTGTCCATAACAACAAACCAGTATAGTTTTCAGGTTCCTCCTGGGTCTCCGACCGAGGGATACCCCTAGCACGAATACACCATAAAATGCTTCACAACCTGCAAAACCAGGACAATAACAGTGATTGTCGGTTGGAAAATCGGGAAGAAAAGCAAGTCCCCGTCCGCTATAGGGTGAGTTCTGCATTGCATTTTGTGCATGAATTTGAAGGTTCACCTCGGTTGGCTTCATGAAGTCTGGTCCTCCAACAAGTGAGATAGTATGATGGTGTTTCAAGGACAGTTGCACCAGATCAATTCAGATCATATATTGAGGGTAGTGTAGTTCCGGAGAAGTCAGGAGCTCTACTTTGTTCGACACGCGCGAACTCGTATAGTTCGCCGGTTAGCCGTGCGCCGAGGGCTGCGCGATTTCTTCAGTCCGTGGTGACTTGAAGAAAGTGAAGGTCTGCCGGATCCGATGTCTGACAGGATTGCTTTGCAAATTGGTGGTGGATTCAAATCATTCAAACATCTAAGATGGTGGGCACTTTGATGGACAAATGTTGATGCGGGTCCCAAAAGGGAAGCCAAAAGCGAGTCCAATCAATGTGTTAATGTCAAAGTTGATCAAAACAAATATCCTGACACGACTGGACTGAACGCTTGAAAGTTGACATGGCGGAGTGTTTGGTGAAACCGAACCAGATGCCCAGTGTACACAAGAGCAGAGCTTGAGCCCCGGTGTGGCGGCACAGTTGCTTGGTAGCTGCCTTGATCGGCTTGATAGGCTTGCAGACTTACCTGAGCCGCCTCCCCGGGGAATGGCTTTAGAGCCGAATGGGGAGGGACTTTGGAGCTCGGCGCGATGTAGACGCACGCAGAGCTGGAACTTCGGTATGGATGCACACCTGCTCGGCAGCGGCCTTTTGAGATTGAGGAGAGATAGATTGAGAGAGAGAGAGAGAGTGAGTCAGAGAGAGAGAGAGAGAGACAGATTGACGCCACCTCTCGATCGATCTGGTGCGATCTTGATGAGAACAGCTGAAGAACCTGAAGAGCTTAGTCTGGGCCCCGTTTGGGTCATTTTCGTGCTGGCTCCTATGGCCAGAAGTTCTTGATTTCTGAGCTTGAAAAGAGACGGAAGCGCAAATTGGAGACTTTCAGCTCAAGAAGGTGCTTGGCTTTTGACCACAGAGTGTGCGTTGGCACCCCGAAAGTCTCAAGGAGTTTGTTGTACCTATACAATACAACTAATAGTACCTGCAGGACCTTCCAGCAGGTGGTTTTTGGATGTTTTTGGACACCCCTTAACCTCTAGAGGCTATTTAGGGGGCTAGCGCTCGCGGCCGCAGAGGCTGGTTTGAATTGACGGGCTTGGTTTGTCTCCGGAGGCTGTGAATTCTCAGTTCCAGCACGTGTTCAAGAGTAAGGCAGTCATGAATGGGCTGGTAATGCTGAGGAGTGTACTGAGGACGGAACCTTGGTTTGTCCTGATTGTGGTCAGGCACATCCCACAGCTGACCATCTCTTCTGGCATTGTCCTGCCTATAAGTCTCTTAGGGCTGTCATGCACTCCTAGTTACGGGCCTAGGTGATCAAGATTGAGATTTAGGAATGTTATGCAACAACTGTTGAAACCCATGGCTGTCCAAACCGTGGAAGCGCGGAGTCATGGACCTGGACCACTACCCCAAGCTGAAAGCACATGTGTTGTAGGCTCAAGTTGTCAGACATGCACGAGCTGAATACTGACATAGCAAGTGGTTTTGCAAGGAAACACATCTGATCTGTGGCTACATGTTGACTAACATGGGTTGTGTTAAGATCAATTTGCTTAGTAGTTTTATACAGGGTCAGTGGGTCACCATTGTACTATATAATTCTTGACACAACATATTTTCTCATGAACTGCCATAATGGTTGAAGCTGAACCTCGAAGTATTGCCATTGTGGGCGGTGGCGTCGCAGGAGAGCTGTTGCTGCTGTTGTTGTTGTTGTTGGTGGTGGTGGTGGACACGGGTTTCGTTCTTTGCTAAGGCTGGACATTGCTCATGAGTTGGTGGGTGTTTGTTCTTCGAAGAGAGCAGAAGCCGGAAGTTTTCTCAGAATCCCGCATCCCAAAACGCCAATGAACCCTCAGTGTAGAAGTGTAGAACAGGCATTGAAAGGCGCCAGTATTCCATATTCCACCACCCACGTTGTCGAGAGAGCGAGTGGTTTCCACCAGTCGTCGTGAAGTGGTTTCCATTTGTCGAGATAGCTATTCAGAACTTCACCCCACCCGGGTCAACCCTTCCACATATGCAAACAGATGAGTCCAAAGCCAAGAAAAACAAAACACCAGTTGTAGGAGAGTCGCGCAAAGACCTGGGGCCAAGCAAAGTCCGGAGGATTGCAAGCGCTCCATTCATTGCTTCAGCTCCCTCGAGTGGAGAAGATTGTCCCTTTACCCGACATGTGGCGGGCGCTTTCTTCGACGTGTTCTTCGGCGAGTCGTGTGTTCTTCGGTCGTCCAACCGGGTGGCCCCATCTGCCATCGAGCTTCTCGAGAAGCTCTCAACGACTCCCTTGTTTTTGAAGGGTATGGCAAGGTATGGCCGCTATAGCCCTGTTTTCCCCTGGTTGGCTTGCTTGGCTTTTGCATGGGGAGACCACCAGTTCGAGTCCCTGGAAGAAGGAACATAGACAAACACCACAAAACCCATTGGGACATGGAGTTTTGTTTTTTTAATACACACCCATTGCTCATAAATATGCGTCATATTCTCTCCTTCAGGTCCTTTTCGAGAAGTCAGATACCATCGGCGGCGTGTGGCGTGAGAACTACTTTGGCTATGGAGCACAGGTGAAGCGAGACCAGTGCCTGGGACGTCCCGAAATCTGGGTGAAGACCGCGAAAGATCCGCAGGTCATTGTTTTTATGTTGCATGAATTTATATGCATTTATAATATGGCATTTATAGGCCGGGTCATGTCCTTTGTTCCAGGGTACTTTGGAAGGTCAAGGTTGTGACTTTAGATCATCAGTTTGTCCAGTCTCTGGGGATCTCGTTGGCCTGGTTCCTTGGTTCCTTTGTGGAAGGATGGGGAAGCACCCCCCCGTAGTCATGTCATAATGTACCTGAAGCTCTATATTTGTAAGGCTCCGGTGTAAGCATGTAAAGCACCAACCCCTGTACATCCAGTTTACCGAACCCATGGTCCAAGCAGCCCGTTGTTGTTCCCGTTCCAAAACCCCTTTGTCCAAGCTCCCAAAGCCGAGACCGGATCCATCGGAGCGAAGGCCGAGACTCGACGGACTCAGGTATTCCTTTCCGGAGTTGGGACCAGCAGGCTTGGACCTATATCCCACCGGAGCTCAGCTGATGCTTGGCGACCTCCAACTCGCGAGTCGTCGCCGTGTTAGTGCAAACCTGGAAGGTCGGTCTTGAAGTCCGGTCTCAGACGCAGATGAATCCAATCAGACCGGTCTCGACACGCGGTCATCTCCGTCGGAGTCTATCTGTTGCGTCCACTCTTGTGTCTTTCTTTTTGGCGGCATGGCATTGATTGGGGCCATTGGGAGAGGTCCGTTTGCCCCTCCAGAAATGGATGAATTGACGCTTCGCAGGCCGGTCAATGCTATTTTTGGAGACCTCCCAATGTATACGACCTCGGGAGATTCATTGAGTGTGTTCCAATCCCTACCATCCTGTGGATTCTCCTCCCAGTTGCCTGTTGGGCTCCAACCACTCAAAAACCATGTCCAAGCACTTTGGAATCTACCTGCTACTGAAAAAAGCGAAAACGATAGCTCCACTGCCACGCGAGACCAGGAAGGCTCACTGCCACGCCTACTGCGAGACCTTCGGCCTATGGCCCTACATCCGCCTGAGCACCGATGTTCAGCACCTCACCCGTCGGGCCGGGCCTTCCGGCTTCCGGGTGGCCTGGAAGAGGGCTTCCGATGCCGAGAGCGAGGAGGAGGACGGACCTCAAACAAGACCGGAGAGGTTCGGGTTCGTTCGTTGGGAACACGGTGGAACATGGTATACAACCAGCTTCCGATCAGAGGTTCTGGTTTCATCCTGTGGGTGCATTGATTTGGTGATATTTGGTATGGTTCTGAGAGGTTATCGTCTTGTCTTTTTTTGGAGATTGGTGAATTTGCATTTGCTGGCGAAAGCTTTTGAGGTATACAGTGTATACAGTATATACGCCATTATACGCTATACTGCAAGAGTTGGACAGTTGGACAGACTCGTCGAAGGATGGATGACAGCACAATTCGCCTCACTGCTGTGGATTTTGGAGAAGGGATGATCTTGGCAGGTTTTTGTGAGGAGACTCAGGCATCAAAACCGATCCAAACAAATGCAAAGGTTTGGCACAGGATCGCGTGAGGTGTTTCAGAGGTTATAAACTTTAACAACAATGTACTGTACTTGTTGTTTGCTAACAGATGTTATACACGTGGTTTAGATTTGGATGTGCCTCGCCCAGCCCGTGGGCCGTGACTGCACAGCCAGTGATCTCACGGCCTGCTTGGCAGAAGACAGTGAGGACTTCGACTTTGTCGTCATGGCTGTGGGGAACTTCTCCAAGCCCTTCATTCCCGAGCTGAACCACTCGCACTTCATGGGGAGGTGCCTGCCAGATTTGACCTGTCTTGAAACCTTGACCTAGCGGCCTGAATTTAGCCATCATGTTTGTGTATGTATATATACTTATAAGTACACTGATAGCGTAGTTGGCAGCGTGTGTTAAACCTAAACTATCTAAAACTGGGATTTGTGTAGTAAAGTGGCACTAGGAATGACAGCGTTAAAGTCATCATTGCAATGTGTTGCATTTATATGCATTGTTTAAGTTTTATCGCACCATTATGCGCATTATGCGAGTCCTGAACGAGTCCGAGCATCCACGTGCATCCACCATCCACTGTTGTTTCTGGGCGGCTTGCACTCGGTTTTCCTTTGTGTTTTTCAATAGGCTTCCCAAGTCGGATCCAAAGCCAGCGGGACCATCGTTACTTCTCAGGTTGAAGCCTCGAGGCCCGAAGAGTAGCGCGAGTGCACGGCTGGAAAGCTTACCAACCTGAAGCATGAAAGCAGAATAACACCAGCACCACCCGAAGGATGGTCATTGGATGGTAAAGAACATGTTGGTGGGGCTCTAGAAACCACCGGGACTTTGTGGTGCTGGCATAAAGCACGGCATCACCTCTCAACAGCATTTTCCTGAAGAGACCTGATCTACAGGGCCTTGACAGTAAGCGTCTCATCGGACTCTGGAGGATCCTTCATAGCTCTGAGCTGGTGGATCCTGAGATGCTACAGAACCACCATGTGGTCGTCGTGGGCTACGGGAAATCGGCCCCTTGGGAATGATGAAGGATGTAGGAAGGTTTGTTAAACCAAAAGGACGAGTATGTCAAAGGTGGAATCCTCCTACCTTGGCTTGGTATTTTCCTAGTATATATATATATATATATCTATATACAAAAAAAGGGGCCGACTCAAATGCAGTGCTTACAGCGCTGCTTGGCAGATTCCTGGTAGCTTTCCACCATCAGCCAACAAATGATTGGTCTTGGGATGTGTGTGATCAGACTGCGAGACATCAGTGAGGCCCTCGATTGCTTCATTTTGGCTTCAAAGTTCGCATCTTCAGCCACTCTGGTGGCTCGACGCCCCGCGTGGATCCTACCACAGAGATTCCTGGGATGCTCGGACTGGAGAAGGTAGGTCAACGAGTAAATGTTCTTGCTTTTGTTTTGTAATGTTTTGTATGATTGATGTTCAGAAGCCTATATCCCTCAAGCAAACTAGTAGTAGTAGTAGTAGTAGTAGTAGTAGTAGTAGTACTAGTAGTACTAGTAGTACTAGTACTAGTACTAGCAGCAGTAGCAGTAGTAGTCGTCGTCGTCGTCGATGTAGATGTAGATGTAGCTGATGTCGATGATGTTGAAGGGAAGCCAAGCAAGAACTTCGGAACTTGCTTGCTGTTTGTCTCCATTGTCAGGCATCCCCTTGGAATACCTGGCCTCTACACGCTGGTTCGCACACGTGGTCTTTCCGCCCTACTACAATGCCAGTCGACTGCGACGGTGGATGCTTGGCCCCGTCCCACGAAGCGAGGTATAAAGAAGACACAATATGATATAATTTCACATACATATACATGTACTATACACTGGTAAAACAGCTGCTATTTACTCAGATCTAGCAAGACATGACATGTTGGGTTTTGTGTTGTTGTGCTTGTGGCTGTGGTGGTGGTCGTTGGTTGTTTGTTTGCTTGCTTGTTTGTTTGTTTTTTGTTTGCTTGTTTGTTTGTTTGTTTGTGTGTTTTTGTGTGTTGATTGTTGCAATAGCAACATTTCCGAGATTATGGAATTTGTTTGCATTTTTCACTGCACTATCCATATCTTCAGGATCGGAGTCTTCTTGTGGCCCCTTCAAGCACTTTTATGGTGGATCTTGGTGCCGATCTTGTGGTTCCACTTTCGCCTTCCTCGTGCGATGTGGCCGAGCCATTCCTTAGCGTGGCAGCTCTGGCATGGACACTCGGTGTCCATTTGTGACCCTGCACCACTGAAGGAGGCTTTCGGTTCTTTTTTGGGCGGAATCCGTTTGTTTTTCTTCCACGAACGGAGATGCATTGACTCAAGTTTCATGGAAGCGGAAAATTGATGAAAATGGATGAAAATGGTTTCTTTGGAAGTTGGAAGACTGCTTTGTTTATCTACAAAGCAGGGTGGTTAGTATGTTAGAGTGTACTTTTTGATTCAGGTTCCATGGAAGTGGACATGCTTGTCGTATATATAGAGGACAAACTGGTTCTGCTTCCCCTCCTACAGCACTCACAAAGGGGTGTGTGATGATAGGGAGATCAAGGAGACCCACTTCGACCATGTATAGGTCAGTCATTGCCAGGCCTTGCGCCGGGGAGCGCGCATGCTGCGCGGCCAGCTGCTGGGTCTCACCGGCACCGGCTGCATCATCGGGACGGAGAGCGCTGCATCGTCCGGTGGAGAGGCGCCGGTGTTGCTGACAGCAGACGTGGTGGTCTTCGCTACGGGGTATCAGGACGCGAAGACTGGGGAACGGCATCAAGTGGCTGCTGATTGGGAGATATTGGGAGCATGGGCAGAGGAGTTTGAGCGTGTGTTCGGACCGCTTCGATGGATTTGGGAAAAGCCCGGGGCCTAGATCCCCCGCTGAAAAAGAGATGGGTGGGCGGTCACCGGGATTTCAGACTCGATCCATCATGCAATCTCTACAAAAATATAGTCACAGATGTCGCAGACCCTAGTAACAAGTGCCACGCTAGTAGTAACAAGTGCCTTACTAGTAGTAACAAAAAGCTATTAGAATTAAACTAAAACTAAATTAAAGTAATAGCACTAGTAGCTTAGTGACTATATTTTGTTGTAGGAGTCTTGGTCCAAGCTCTTCGACGAAGAGACCTTGAAAGCCCTGGATCCTCATGGTGAAGGCCCAGAGTTGTACAAACTGATTCTTCCAGATCTGCCGGGCTTGGCCTTCCTTGGTCGTCCCTTGGAGAGTGTCGGCCCGGAGGTGGTTGTTGGCACGGTCCTTGTGGCACGGATTTCCAGTACCAAGCAATGCAACAGCAAGATGGTACTGTCGGACCTCTCCCAGAACCTGCCTCAGTGTCTTCAGGGACTTTTTCCTTTTGCTCATTGCCACAGGGTTGCTCGCAGGGTCGACAGGGTGACCTGATCCACCAATCCACAGCACAATTCACAAGGCAATGTTCAAGAAATGGAATGTCACACAGATGTTGTTGGAATAACATGGAATAACTACGATGTTCTACATTTGGCAGGTTCAGGCCTTCTTTATGTGCACGATATGAATTGTTTTTTAATGACTTTCCACCACACTCAAACCGGTGCGCTGGGGTTCCCAGGTATCTTGACCACCTGTGACATTGTGACCTCCTTTGTCCAGGCCCAGTGGCTGCAGGCACCCTTGGCGTTCTGGAGGATGGTTTTGATCCGCAGATGGTTTCGATCGTCGCCCGTTCTGACATGCTTATCAAGATCCAAAATACATGGCCCCAGTGCAAGGGCTGGTCCCAGCTTTGCGTGGTCACAGTCACAGTGTCCTCGTTCTGAAAGCCAAATACTTGACTAACTTGACCCACCTCGAGAGAGAGGTTGGTCAACCGGTCGCGGTGCATCTTAGTATGTGTGAGACAGACCAGGCCGTTTGACGTGGCCTTGTGTCGAAACAACATCAAACATTTGGGTATCAGAGTGGGAACCTGCAGGATTGGCTTTAGGATCATTGTTACGCTATGCATGTCTTAGCGGCTTCGCGCCACTGGTCCTACAGATCTCTTTTGCGCGTTTCACTCTGTGGGGAATCTGTATGATTCTGCTGAACTTTGTAGTGGACATTTACAAGGCCACGAGGTGTGTGCTTGTGTGGGCACTCGTGTCATGAAGTCCTTGTTGGTGTTGGCCTGTGACCGGTGTGGAAGGTTGACCTAGGATAAGTATAGAGAATCTGCAAAACCTTTTTGGGGGCGGGGAGTAGATTTCCCACAAACATCATCATCATCTAAAATCCAACAGGAAATGAAAAGGTGAACCATGGATAACCATGGTTGACCTTTATTTTTGCAAGGAAACTGGAGGGGTGAGGGTTGGAGTTGGAAACTGCGACATACTGCGACATGACTCATGACACAAAGTCCATCACGAAGCGCTTGACTGCCCGGTCACGACACTCCAAAAACATAATGTTTTTTTTCTGTTTTCTTCCTGAGGGAACATGCTTCGGTGGCCCCAACAGAAACGTGTCCTCTTGAAACACAACTCTTGTCGAGTCTAGTAGAGAGGTGGAACATATCCTCGAGTCTCGCGTCCTAAAAACACTTGCATCGAACAACACCCTACCAATGAAGTGCTATCGAGTGCGAAATCCCAGCAGAGATGCTTCGCTGACCAAGCACTTGGTGATGAAATTCTCGCTGCTCACAGGCACTGCTGGCCCATCAGATCCCTCGCCCAGCACCGGCAGTGCGTCAACCGACGCAGAAAAGCTACAGAGAATGGCGCCGGAGCTTCGCGCCGGTGGTGGGGCACACCATGGTGGCTGTGCCGCGAGTCTTCGATTACCTGGATGAGCTCATGGATGACTTGCAGGTCTGAAACGACTTCTTTTATGTTCTCAACTGGTTGTCGAGTGCCCTTTGACTCATTTTTCTTGTTGTTGAACTTTTCAGCGTTCTACTAGGGTTCTACTATTTATTTGTGGTGATGTGATATTAAAACAAAAATACAACACACAAAAACACTGGAAGAGGCACCACAGTGGATGGCACTAGTTGTAAGGGGTTGTTCTGATGTACCCACACACACACACACACGCGCGCGCACACACACTCTGACATTGGTTTGCAGTTAACTCAGTTCCCACGTTGAGAAGGAAGGTGAGGGAACAGAAAGGCGCATGGGTCAGCGAGAACAGTATAGTAGTATAGTTTAACAAAGTGCAACTAGACCTTGACTCAAAAATGCAGAACGGAAAGGCGATGGAGTCCGGAAAATTGGAGATGTTTCAACATTGTTTTCATCTTGCATTAGCACTTTAGAGCTTGATTAAAAATTAAATTGGAAAAACGCAGGTACGTTTTCACCCAGGTGGGGGGCGTCTTCGCCAATATTGGCCGGAGACCCCCCACCTGGCTCCGGCCCCCTGCTTGGAATCACTGTACATCGGAACCCTTAGGTACAGGGGTTGACACACACACGGTGCCGCTTTGCGGCGCTCGTGCGAACGACCTGAATAGGCGCCTAAAAAGCCTTAGAAACAAAAGAAAGAAACACAGAAAGAGCAGCGCTAAGAGGGCAAGAGAGAAAGATAGGTGTAGAAGAAAGGTGAATACTTAGCCCTTGACTGGGGCAGGGAAACGAGCCTCAAGAACAACCTAAAAAGCCTGAGAGAAAGCCCAAGAAACCACCGAAAGCGTAAGAAAGAAAGGGGGGGGCAGGGAGGGGGTGTATGTAGCATGTGTGTGTCCGTGTGTGTGTGTGTGTATGACTACTTAGCACTCTAGAGTTACTGATTACTTAGCCGAGGCGAATTAAATGCAATAGTTAGGGAGCGGGACTTTAGTCCTAGACCGCCCGGGTAGAGAAGACTAGAACAGGAACAACAAAGGGAAAGGCACCGACACACAAGTGTGTCGAGTACCATTTCCCTGTGTTGCCCTAATTAGGTGGGGAGTAGAACTCGGCGGGGGGGGGGAAGGGAAACATGCCTGACCGCAAGTGGAATTCCGTTTTTTGGCCCGGCGGCCGTGGTTGTTCACCGTGAAAGCCCGGCGGCTTTTTGGTCAGCGAATTCAGTTATGGAAGTGGAACCAGGTGAGTCAGTGGAAAGATTCAGTTGTAAAAGGGAGGGATGAGTTCCGGCATGGTTGCAGCGCCCCTTTCACGGGGATCACACCCAGCACCCAAGTGGGACGGCTGAGCGGTTCACACTCTGACATTGGTTTGCAGTTAACTCAGTTCCCACGTTGAGAAGGGAAGGTGAGGGAACAGAAAGGCGCATGGGTCAGCGAGAACAGTATAGTTTAACAAAAGTTTCCCTTTAGTGCAACTAGACCTTGACTCAAAAATGCAGAACGGAAAGGCGATGGAGTCCGGAAAATTGGAGATGTTTCAACATTGTTTTCATCTTGCATTGGCACTTTAGAGCTTGATTAAAAATTAAATTGGAAAAACGCAGGTACGTTTTCACCCAGGTGGGGGGCGTCTTCGCCAATATTGGCCGGAGACCCCCCACCTGGCTCCGGCCCCCTGCTTGGAATCACTGTACATCGGAACCCTTAGGTACAGGGGTTGACACACACACACACACACGCACACACACACAAAATGAAAACACCAAATGGATGATCTTGAACTGCATGACACCATGTAGGTGTTTGCTTTGCTAGTTATCCTAGCTTCTAATTATACCGCGGGTATTTGCCCTAGTCATCTTAGAATATTTACCTGGACCTAGTAGACAAACAAACCACAATCGGAACCGCTTTGAAGCATCTTGAGCCAGAGTGGAACTTCTATATTGCAACTGGCCCGCTCAACTGTCCATCTTTGCACAGCTGGCCCGCTCCTCAATCGCCAGGTCTGGCCGTCCGGCCGCGACCGTTTCCTGGGCCTCTTCCAACCACTCACCGCACAGACGCTCCTCGCGGCGATGGCGAGGGCGAGGGCGACGGCGAGTCCGGTGCAGGGACGGAGGGTGGTGCCGGTGGCATGAGAGGAAGTGACACATGACAGCCGAATGAGAGGAGACAACCTTAGTGTCCGCCTGGCAGTGGCAATCGCATACAGCTGTACAAAGGTGGGCACACCTGATACAGTTGGCAAGACAGCAAAAGTGAAGGCCATGAGAGCCAGTCTGGTTGAGCAGACATGATGGACAGCGGCCACAAGCTCGCATATGATGCCTCCTCAAGTTCCCCAGAAACTGAACAAGCTTGGAGCAGCCTCAAAGTTTGGAGTGGCAAGCATGGTGCATCCATCCGGGCCCTGATCAACGCTTCATGAACAGTACAGTGCCAGACGTGACGTGTAAAAAGGAAGTTTTTTGGAGGTGTCATTTCGCACCGTTTGGCAAGCGACAGCAGTTGCATCAGACATCATCGCAGGTCCTCATTCCTTTTGTGCCTGCATTTGTGAATTGATGTATTGTGTTTTGATGTGTTTGATCCTTAAAGGGTGATGCAATGTGGTTCTCGTGCTACTGATTTTCGCGGGTATTTGACGCCGGGCAAACATATGCAGCATTTGGACATGGACGATCATCGGCCATGTGAAAGACCGCAGTCCAACGCGTGCTGGATCCAATTGGTCCGAAAACGATGTCCATCCGATGTTCCGGTCGCCCGTTTCAAGCACGGACCCGTGCACGGAGCTGTGCACCTGCCCGGAGAACCAGGCAGGTGTGGGGGACCATCAGCGGATGGCATGGGAGGTGGAGGTGCACCAGAGGGACTTGCCCATGGGGCACTGTCTAAAAGGCTTCCTTGTTACACTCTCTCGTGTAGCGAAAGAAAGGATGGAGGAATCTGTCAGTCAGGATATACACATGTCACATGTCACATAACAATTATAGGGCTGAAGCAGGATTCTATTGACCAATTTCAATTGGACCAACCCCTGCGACCCCAACTGTCAGGGCGTGGGGTAGGAAAGTCTAGATACACCACACACAGTGTTTCGCGGACTCTATGCTCATACTTATTGGTTGGTTCAGTACTGGATTCACTTCCGGCTAACCGCACCAAAACATAGATCAATATTCATCAATTATGCAGCACCTGCACATCGAATGTCAAGCAGGGAAATGCACCAGGAGGTGGACATGTTGTCTTGTCTTTCAAGGTTAAGAGGTGAGGTTAGGAAAATCCTCTTCGTTTCTAGTTCATCACGGGTTTCCATCTAGCAGAGGACCAGACGCGCCGAGCGATTTGCCAGGGCGGCCATGGGGGCAGCCGGGATCACAGGATGGGGGCCATGAGTCATCAACGGACTTCCGCTCGGATGCCGTTCTGATGGATTGCATGAGCTCCTGGATACGTATCCTGATGCAGAGGTACCAGATCTCTAGAGACAACATGTTTACTAATTTCATCTCATGTCTTCATTTGCCAAACCATTCAATTCTCAAGCCACCCACTTCATGAAGTCATTCTTGTGGAAACGATTCTCCCACTGGATCAGCGCACCACACAACTTTCGACATGTTGAACCTCCAACCCTCCTCGAAACGCTTGACGCCTCACAAGCTGGATCCGCTCAGAACAGGGCCTGTCCATGTTCACTCTCAGCCCCCGAGGTCAAGACCTTCACGTTGAAGATGAAGCTGGCCAAGAAGATCAAGCAGCCACTCAGCTCATCCACCCGATTTGTTATTTCAGACCATGATGACAATGATGATACATATATTATATCTATCTATTATATGATGATCGTGAAGAGGTTGACCTCGAAGCCTTGCAGTGGCTGAGATTATAGATTGTGATTTGATTTGTCAAGGTTATGGTAGCACTAGAAAGTCCAAGTTCCCCTCGAATGTGTTTGTATTCTGCTCTTACATGTGTGACAAGTGCATAAACACGATTCACGACTGTTCAGCGTGCACCTTTGCAAGTCATTATATGCCATGATAATAGGTAAGGATTGTTGCGCAGCTTGGCTTGAACGTTGCACAGCTCGCCCTTGCCTGGACCATTCTGAGGAACCGCCCTTTGCCGTCGGGAGTCCTGAAGTAGTTCACTGTCTCCTGAGCGCTTCTTTGCGAAGACCAAGGGCAACCAAAGCCTTTTTCTTTTACGGACACCTGATCCAGATCTATGTTTGACTGAGCAACGGAATTGACGTCAACTTTCGGAAATGATTGAAATGATCATGTGTGTGTGTATGTGACAATTCATCCGTGTTGTTTGACTATTGGGGGCAGTTCCTCCGGTATTTTCCACGGATGACTGTCATACTGAATGGTCGTATCATGCGCCGCGAATCAGAGATAGATGGAGGCATATGATTAGGACTGAGAATCGGAGAATTTCAGAATCTCTCAGAGCCACACAAGTATATATGTGGGTATCCAGAGCGGACAACGTCATGCAAGGATCGGAGTCTGGGTTTTCCATGCTGTGATATACTCTATATCCAGTTGTTCGTTCGCACCACTAGACTCACTAGACCATGACTCTACAAGGCGTGGCATTGAAAAACAATGCTTTTGCGGTTGTGTTTGTGTCAACTTTAAAAGCTGCTCAAGGTACTCAGGCACTAACAACCAAGCTGTGTATCCAAGCGAAGACTCAGTGCTTGTGCTTTAAGAGGCACTGAAGCAATGTATTACTCACTAGGGGATCTGTTACAAGCTTTGTATGAGTCAGGGATACTCTCAATTCTTGTGGGAGTTGGAGGGGGACTGAACGGCTTGATGATCTTGATTGGAACTTTGTCGCGCTAGGCAGTGGTTTCGTTTGAAGACCGGCACCAAGATCCGCCCCTTGGCAAATTGGTGTCGTGGAACTGGGTCGAGAAAACTCAGGCAGAAAATATATGATGTGACTGCGGTCAAGCCAAATGTTCTCTTGGGAGGACGGCGGCTGTTTGCCACTTTGCTTGGTCCCAGAAGCTTTTGTTGGCAAATTCCTTGCTCCTGAGAGTCTTGGTAGCTAGCGGGAACACCTACACCACAAAATTCCGCAAAAGTATTGATATATCCACGATTCAGGCCACGAGCGGTCAGGGTCGATGCCCCAACTCAATCAAGCCACAACATGTATACTGTACTAGTAACACTAGATATCCTGGACAGTCTTCTGGCAGATCAATTTGGGGGTGAAGTGACAAACACCGCTTCCAGACCGCTTCCCACACCGTGCAGCTGAGGCTACAACAAGTTCCGAAGACATTGGCCGGGCCTCCCAGGGCGCCCGCGCTTCCGGGTTGAAGAATGCATTTGAGCCAGCGCCTGAAACTGGTCCCCTTGCTAAACAGCTGGATCTAGCAGAACTCACAGCATACAACAGAGCTTTTTGGACATCTCTCATGAAGACTGACACCAGCTGACTGGCTGTAGGATGGTGTGTGGGTCCAGGTACATGTGGCAGACTGGGTCCGGGCTGTATTCATTGGCGTCACTGCGGCGTCACTTGACATCAATACAGTGTCAACTCTCACACTACAGGCACGGACAAACTTGTTGGGAACAAGTTTGTCAGACCTAACAACTCACGATGACCCACCGCAGCGTGACCCACCGCAGCGTGACCCGTTTGCATCCTATTGCCACAGCCAGCTTACCTTCAACACGAACCACACCGAAAGAACAAAACGAGACTCACCACAAACCCCCATGTACCTTGCCGTACTATGCCAGGCGTCGTGGCAAGATCGGCCTCTGAGTGATGCGAGGCCTTCTGTCGGTCGGACAAGGCGATTCAGAACGGCCGAACCGGGTTGGAGATGGCGCTGCAAAAGGGACGGTGAGAATCAGGGCGGTGCAGAAGGAGCCGAGGATCCACGAGAGGTGAAGATTCGAGAAGAAGGGTGACTTTGTCAGTGAGAGTAGGCATGTAATTGATTGTAATTGCATGTCTACCCGGGGTGTGCTATGGCATTAGACCTCGGTACAGACTGGGTGGGTACGACGAACGAAGTGGATTCCAACGATCAGTGAGTTCGACCTTGAGAAGTGGAACCGACCTCGTGCCGAGCTGCTCGACATGACTTCAATGGCTCAAGACGGACACCCGAAGCCTTGGGAGAAGTCTCCCTTGGCATGAATGAAGCGTCGCCACTTGTCCGATAGATTCTCAAGGATGTTAGTTACCGGTCAAAGTGGACCTATAGGTCCACACGTGACTGAAGCTTTGTTGGCTTTGTTCATGTCGTTAAATGTGAGTGAGGTGTCAGTGTACCGGTTCAATCATGTGTGAGGACCCTATATATATATTATTATATATATAAGGATGTTCATGGATGTTCTGATTGATGATCGATATACATCAACGTGCATGTCCAATCAATCACCGTCGAGCAGTTCCACGGTGTGGGCGGATCGGGTTCGACGGAGGAATCTTCAGATCGAGCGGGAACGGGGAGCAGCAACAATTCGGGTCGTATGTTCTACTGGAAAATAGCTTGGCCAAGTTAGGAGTTGTCTAAAGTGTATCTTATTAAGATCTTCAAGTTTGGGTGCTGCTGTGGTTTAGCAGAATTAGCTTTTGGTTCTGACACGTTCTGACTATTTCTGAATATAACACTGTTCTTTGTTGTGGGACCAAGGTAGATGCCACAACCCGGGCGATGTTTCAACCATGTTAAACCACTATATAAGCAAGCAACTAGGTAACCATGCTGCATCCTTTCGTCACACACCTGAATTGCCTGCCGAGAAAAGGGCGGACACCTCCAGCATAGATGAACGAAATAGAACCTGGCAAAAGGATGGAAAAGGAAATAGAACTCACTCGATCGACCAAAAGGACATTGATGGCGTTCTTTAATGTGGCCCATTTGCTTGTGCTGCACAAGTGCCACAATAGTACAGTTGGCTCCCGCGAATACAAACAACAAATATATAGTAATATAATATATATATATATATCCTGTGAGATGAAGGTGTTCTTCATTGCTTTGACTGTCCAAGGACTTGCGCTTCTGGCCCTGGTGGCCACCACTAGTGCCACGCGCCTTCGCAGCAGCGGACGAGCAGGTTTGGCTGGGCAGGGGTTCAAATGCAGGGGTTGAGGTGACGGAGGCATGAGTGATAAATACTGGTGGAACAGGGAGCTCCATTGGGTTGTTCAGGCGTGGAACGTACGGAGCGGCCAAGCACTGTTGGCCAGGCATTTCGGCTGTGGGTAGCGAGGGCCTGGCAGTGGTGGAGGAGCAGGTTCAGGAAAGGGGGCCCCAGCGATTTGTTTGGGGCGCGGCGGCGGCGGCGCGGTAGTATTCTGACATACTTCATCATACTTTCCAGAGCATCGCCGCGCTCAAAGGCTACTTGAAACCTTGGACCTCGTGGCCTTTTGTGGGAAGATGTGCATAGGCATAGTGTTTTGTGTCGTATGCGCTGGGCTGTAGGGGTGCCACTAGCTTTTGACTGTCCTTGTTCGCGTTCACCCATAGGCCCATAAGGCAAAAACCTAGTGCCACTTCTGGTGGAACAATGTCAGGTTCCCTATATTTCCGCTATCCCTGTTTGATTTCCAACAGTTTGTAGGGTTATGTTTCTGGAGAGAGTGTGTCACATCCAATCATCGGACAAGGTAGGTCACTTCTTTTCCACTTCACTTCCAAGTACTTTCGTTGCTTCATTTGAAAGGAGAAGCTTGGAGAAATGTTCCGTCCTTCTCAGCGATTTGGCAGTTTGGAACTCGTTGAGGAACGCCTTTCACGTTTGGACGTGCGAACAACATGTGCGGTCACCAATGTCAGGTTCCTGAATGTTCCTGACGCGTGTGCTCTTAAGGTTTTGGGAAAGTCGAAGGATGATCCAAAACATATCCAAAATGCAGAGGAAAGATGGAGATCATACACAATCCATAGCAAAGATATGCAAAGATTAATACACCCAAAGATTGAGTTCAAACGGATTCCATCGGATTTCATTCCTTGTCGTGGCTTTACTTTGTGGTGGACTCTCCACAGTCGAGTTGTCGACAATGTCAGATGGATGGGTGTATGATGAGCTGTTTATTTGTTTCATATTCTTAGAGCTATCTAGCAAGCTCATCTGGGACCATTGGACTTAGAAGAACGACATGAGGGATTGAATTGAAGGTGCAAAATGTATAGTGACCATCAGTGAACGATGCTTTTGTGAACCATAACCATTGTAAGTCAATAACCTTAGATCATCCTAATGATATGCCGCAACGACGTGATCTAGGATGATTTATGCATTCCCTGCATTCCTTTTTTTTTCTCGCGATCGACCCCGATCCGCGATAGCTTCGATCGACGTCGGTGAGGAGCTGAGTCGAAGTCGATTCCAGTGCTTCACAGGTCCAGGCGACACGCGCGACGCGTATCGGAGTGGTGGTTTGGTGAGGTCCTGGTGGTGTGGGAGAAATGGTGAAAAAGGAATGGCGATATATGGACAACAAAGGAAACTAGGCAAGTGCAAACTGGACATGGAATTCTTATTAGTCATGTCCATTTCATTCCACGACTGCTTGTTCCAACCAGATTCATTTGCAACAAACATTGTCCGTTGACCTCTTGTAAGATGGTGTCATCAGTGGTATTAATGGGTATCCTGTCTTTTGAGGATGTATAGTTGGAACTTCTAGTTAGAACATTTAGAACCTCCATCGTTTTCCATGGTTGGACCCCTTACTCGGGAAAGAGCGCCTTTGAGATCGCACCTGTTCTTGAGCTAATATAGGTGAGTAACGTTGGAATGTGTGCGTGCAGCCTGGAGGGAGGGAACACCTTTGTTTGGTTTTCTTCCATGTATTATATGTATATTTATATGTCTCGCCTATTTTTGTTGAACATTTGTTTCTATCTTTGGCGCGGATTGGACCTTTCTGCCAGGAATTATCGGTTCTGTCAATCACGATGTGGGCAGATATGGAACGCTGTCATTCAATAGGGCTGCGGGTCAAAACCTGCAATGTGGTATGCTGAAGAGTGTCACATGGAATCAGTAGAACCATAAGTACTCCGCTTAAGTTGAGCTCAATGGAGTCCCTATATATGTCAAGGCCAGAACACGATGGCCGAGCTGCAGCATTGGAAGCTACTTTTGGCAAGTGCTTTCATTTGCATTGTGTAGGGCTGATAACTGTCAGATCGGCCTGGGAATGAACGGATCATTATCGTCAATCTCAATAGTTCCACAAGTCCATTGGCCAGAATTGGGAAGGCCAGAGACCAGGTCAACTCCAGTGGAAAAAGAGCGTTGGCAAGTGTTGCTTTTCATAGAACGCCACAATATAGTTTGACTTCCCTGTTAGTTTGTTCATTTTCGGTGGTCAGCCCTGTTCCCCTGGTCTTTGACCGCCATCGCTTGTGTATGTGGTCAGACGGAATGAATGCCGGCCGGTGGCAGGTCGTGCCTGCAAGGTTTGCAAGGACCTCGAGGACACCGGACCTAGGGGGACCTGTGAGGTCCATGAGTGGCAGATATGTTGTCCACCAGGGCGAACGGACGGTAGGGCGAAGGGATTGAGAGATGGCGCCAGATGGCGCGGACAGGGTGGTTTATATGGACCCCCATCTAAAGGTAATTTTGGGGTTTGTGCCATCTACTCTGAAACCAGTATGGCGTATGGTAATAGCTCATGAACTCCGTGATGGCAGCATTTGCAGAGTGGAGTGTGCCAAATGCAAACAGATGAACCCCCCAAAGGATCCCAATCGTAGAAGCGAGCAGCTAGCAAGTCTGGTGTTGCTTGAAAGTCGCAAAAGGGTCAGACTTTCGTGACCGAATGATTTGGGGTTCCTTCACAGGGTGCACTTAAAACTGCACACAAAGATCTTGACAGACGCTGCCAACCCAGTCATCAGAAGTAATTTATTAACTGAATCGTTGCTTTGCTTCAAGTTTACTCAGACAGGACCGGACAGACCATGATCAGTGCTTGGAATGCAACCTGGCACGAGACATTGCGGTGTCCCAGGTTGACTTGGAAGCTCTGATGGGGTTGGCGTAAACGCGTCGGGGGAACGTCATGTTCCCCGGTTCGAAGTTTTCCCCCATGTTGTGCTTGAAGCAAGAGCATTATTCCATATTATTCCATATTATTCCACCATATTCCACCAGAATTTTCTCCAAGATTATGGCTGAGCAGAGTACCCTAAAGCAACCTGCCCAGTGCATCAAACTGGGAAGAGATGCGTCTCAGATGCATCAAATTACAAACACTCTGAACATTGCAGACACGTTAAGTATGGGCTTGCCGCTTGCCTGTCACCTTTGTATTCAACCAAGTTCAACACTCATTGAAGGCTTGAAGGAGAAAAGACAACATCTGAGGGCACACAGATGCTTTGTGCTCAATGGGTAGCAGACAATCCCGCGTATACGCCCGTTAGCGACCTCCCTTACGATGATTATATGATCCCTTGGAAAATGGTCCCTTGGAAGACTACTTTCCTCTACCAACAAGGGGTTTTCCACTTCCATGTTAGTGAGTCAGAGTGTATAACGAAGAACTCGAGGAAGTCCTTGAGACATTTTGTGACCACGAAGGCGACTTGAGTGAGTTCCTTGTGGCGACTTGCGTGCCAAGAACTCATTGGACAACTCTCTTGTTGAACCATCAGTTTGCCAGGCACACATTTAACGGTGTTTGACGGTTGAATTGAACATTGACCACCCCACATGACATAGGGTTGCTTAAAAGGGTTCCATGGAAGAGCACTAGAGCATGACTTTCCCGATGGAACTGACAACTGACCTGATGTTTGGCTGTAGTTCCGTATGGATGTGTTTTCATGGGTGCATCCCACGGATTCAGCTGTTCCACGGATTCTGAATTGTATTTCCAGACTTTCAGGTAACGATGGCTACAAGTTAAAGGCAGACAGCTGTGTGCCTTGGCTGAGCTCAAAGCTCCATGTGAGTTTGTTGGGCTGTTCGCAGCTGTGTTCTGCATGAAGACATTGCATCTCCGCTGAGTATTGATGTTTTTTCCCTCTTTTTTTTCAGTTTCAACCCGTTTCAACCGACGCCGATTCCCCGTGGTGCCGTAATAGGGACACGTAGCGGGACCGTCTCTGATGTTGCAGCGTCGGGTGGTCCGAAGGGTCGAATCATGTCGAATCCGTCGGGTGACCGTGGAGTCCCGGAGTCCATCGGCGCTTGCCATATACAGTATGGACTCCATCGCAGAAAGTCTTGTATATGCTCAGACTGGATCAAGTTACTGGTGAGTAGAACCCAACAAAGGCTCGGCTCAACAGACAGAGGTAGATGTCTTTTCATGTGGGGTCGATCCTTCTTACACATTCATGTGGTTGGCTTAAGTGAAGCAGCTGTTCTTGCATGGTCTCGGGATCCACGAGATTGCGCGGCTTCGCAGACATGAGGGTCACATAGCTGTCGAATCAACGACAGAACTTTGGCCGTGGGGGTCCACTTCCGACGACTAGTCCTGACTCGGACGATCTGGAGAGTGTGTCTCAGGTGCCGCATAGCTGTGACGTGGAGAGCCTATCTGGGTGCAGAGATTGCCGGGCCACCCACGTGGGGGAGCCCAGAGAACAGAATGAACAGAGAAAGCGCGGATGGTGTAAGGGGAAACCTACACAGTGCCAGAGAAATTCACATGGGGTCTTCTACCCAAAGCCATCCATTCTAAAACCCCAAGATGTCCCCAGCATACGTATCACAGAAGCATGGTGGGTAGGACCTGAGTTATCCAAGTTACATCCGCAGACGGTCACAGCTTTCAGACATTTCAGAAAGTCAGAGAGGTCACGTCACCCACCCGAAGGGGGGACGTGAGTCGGGGGGCTTATGCCTGTCACCGCGATCCCGCCGATCCGCCGGAAAAGGAGAGGACTGCTGATGACCAATGTGGCACCTGCAGCTTGGGTATGTCTCAAGCAGGGCGGAAGGGGGGCGCTTCGCCCTCAGTGCGAAGCAGGTTGTGGCGGTGCCTTGCAGGTTGTGGCGGTTTGACGTGGAAGACATCGCCCTCACTCAATTTGGTTCATACTCCCCGGTATGGAACCTCAATTTGTCAATGAACCTCATGTATATATACTGTAATACTTTGGTGGTGTTTAGAATGGTGTGCTGTTCTGCAACTGTTCAAGGGTTCAGTATAGCATGACACGTGAGTGAGTTCGGCCAACACGGGCACGGCCATGGGAAAGATTGGTGCCAACAACCTAAAGCAGTTGAGGAAATATTGCATAATGGCCAGGCAGGCCAGCGTTCTACTGGTGGATACTTTTTGGGAGCGCCTTCAGGATTTCCCTTGATCTCCGCAACTGGTTTTTGTCTCTCAGTACTGGCTTGTCAGATGTCTTCACACCCAGTTCCGACCTGGGCTTCTTGCATCTACCTCAGGCCAGGATGGCTACTTCCTCACCAAGTCCTTCAAATGTCGTCCCTTCCACTGTGATGCAACGACTGCCGGCTGCACGACCTGCCGCCCCCGAAGCGAGTTGACCAAGGACGGAAGGTGCAGGTCTGGAGGCTTCCAACACCCAAGATACTCACATGATGGGCTCCAGACCTTTTGTAATTACTAGTAGTAAGGCCAGGGGCTACTAGTAGCGATGTCCTTTGTTCCTAGTAGCTTCTTGTTACTAGTAGTATTGTCTAGCATTTTTTCTCACCACGTAATGCATCACCGGAGCTGGATGTGGCTCTTTTGCCCCACAATGAAGCCTTTGACTGTGGTCAAGGACCAACAGTGCGTGACCTGCCGAAGGGGCTTCAAGCATTTGCCCGATCAGACCTGCCGAAAGTTTGTTTGCCACCAGGCTGATGTAGCTGTCGCAGCATGTGCCAGGTCAATGCGGCGACAGGAGGGTGTTTGTTTTTTTGGGTTTGCGGCAACTCCAAGTCTTCAGGAACCATAACGATCATAACGTTCACGCAAAGCAACGAACAATAACAAACAATAACGCACTTTACATGTTTGTGGGGAGGAAAATGTTTGATGTTTAGAATTGGTGTTTGGGAGGTGCTAGGTGGTCAGATGCTGACGCCATGTGTAGAGAATCTTCGAAAGAGAACAATCTAGATACTGGTAGCACCCGAAGCAAGCCTCTCATGATGCACAAGAAGTCTTGAGGCCTGCGACATCCAGGCTCTACCGTGCGGGTGTGGCAGAGCGGATAGGTCATAGCGATAGGTGTGGCCGGGTCCGGTGTTTTTGTCTAAAGATCTTTGGGCTCAGATATGTTGGCACATAAATATAATATAATCATATAATAATATATATATTATATAACAGAGAGAGAGAGAGTTGATGATAGATGAACACTTATATGTTTGTTTAATTCGGGCAAGGGCTGTGGTTTTCTTTCCCGCGCTTCTCATGCGGCAGTGAACAGCCTGAGGTGACCTGGAGCAGCTGGAGAACTGTCAGACATGTCGTGAAACCGATGCCACGGACGACCATCAGTTCCTGGTTGACAGGGAGGAGCTTGGGGAAGGCAGCCGTGGGTGTGAAAGTGGAAGGGACAGTTGGGGCGATTTGGGGTAAAGTTCCAGCGCCGCACCTAAGCAAAAGGTTCATCGCAGGGAGGGATGTTGCAACTTGTTGAGATGAGGAGGGCCTTGCCAGCTGGAGGTTGCACCATAGTATGTATTATGGATTTCTATGGTTTTCTTGGGCTCAGCATCTAGTCAGGTCCTAGTTGCCACACCTCCACAAATTGCAGCTTGTCAGACAAGGTTTGGGGAATGTGACGGGTCACTGGAGATGGTATGTGGAGGAACCTCTTCGGGCTTTTCATGATGTTTTCCTTAGAGTGAGGACTTTGTTTTCTAGGCGTTCAGTTTCCAAACGAGGCACTACTTGGAATATATTAATATATAATATATGATGTAGATTGATGTAGTATACTATATATATACACAGTATATATATATATATACACAATCAGACACATTTTGCATTGAAGACGAGTCATCAACACCGCGGATTTGAAAAAACAACACACACACACACACTCTGTAAATAAGCCAGGAATCATACTTGCTGCTCTACAAGCAGCTTCTCTTGACCCTCATTCATGCTGCATGAGCAACCATGGATCTATACATTACTGCATCGTAAAATGTTTGCGTTCCATTGGCATCATCCGACTGTTGCGCACTGTTGAAGACTCTGCATTTGTTCGATTTTTCGAGCATTTTGCTGCAACTCAGGTGTCAAACCTGTAAGCCTGGGTTCCGGCTCATCGAGAATCTTTGCATCTAGGACTGATTCCAAATTTGTCCTTGACCGTGCCTGTTCAGGGTGTTGAAGAGGTTCTGATACTGGTGGATGGATGCGTATGTTGGTGTGGGTCGGTCGGTAGCTTGCACAACTTATCATTACCAATTTTAACTTATTAAGCAAAGTTTATGCACCCCCTGGCTATGTGCTCTTCTACGCACCTTTGCCTCAGCCAATAGCTGTTCGACCCTGAGCGAAGAAATCCATTCTGGTTTTGCTGGTTCAAACGGCCTTTCTCCAGCCAAATGTGTTGATTCATATCCTAAAACCGACACTTTGTGACCACCACTCAAGATGGATGGAACAGAGGATCCTCAACTCCAGTCACCTGACGTTGACTAAAAAGTTGACAAAGTTGCGTCAGGAGATGAGCAGTTTCTTTGCAAACATACATGTGATGGATGTGACCGTGGGATTCACATAACATAATTCTTACGGAATAGCAAACTCCCCACTATAGGCAATGTTTTGTAAAGAGTTGCGTTGGCGTCGCTGTGTCATTGGGGTTTGCATGTTTTGATTGGACTTCTTTCTACCTTATGTGACTTCCTTCCAATGCGGTGTGCCATGCGGTGATTTGACATTTCGCCAACTGAGGCGTCTTAAACCCTGCGCTTGTACTTGACAAAGGCTGTTTAAGAAGTGCTCCCACGTACTCCCAAGAGTGTACTTACTTGTGTCCAGCACTCTAGGTCTGGCCACTTCATAAAGACAACCCTTATTTTTTGAACACTTCAGAACACTCGGAAGGCCCAAATGAGGAATCAATGAGATAATTACAGTACCCGAATGTATCAGTCTTTGGTCTTGTGGCGCACGAGTCATCACTGAATCACTGGGTCACTAGGTTTGGGTCGAACATCATTATCTTGAGAAGAAATCCCTGGGCACTAGCATTTGCTGCAGCCATGCCAGTGAAAGAAGCCAAGCCTTTTGGCCGATTGAATGTTCTTGTTAGGCAAATATTTTGAACCTTGAACGACTCAACATCGCTGCTGCTGCTGCCGCCGCCATTTGCTACTCCGAGGAACACCACCACGACGACTTACGACTACCCCCCAGGTGCTATTGCTTCTACTATGACAGCCTGTGAATTCCCATCTACCACCGACCATGCCGTGGGCGGCCCAGGTGAGCCATTCGCCTGCCACACGGGGCCCTTAGAGGCCTGCCAGCGGTGCAAGGCCTTGGAGGAAAGGATCCAGGACAGGTTTCGAGAGTGCAACGCAAAGCCAACAGGAGATAACAGGAACATAGCAGGAACAACATGGAACAGTTTTTTCATAAACTGAACACTGTGCCCAGGTAGCATCAACAGGTGAGGTCCATGTGCTGATGGCGTTCTTGTGGTATGAGGTGAACAAGTTCAACCCATGTCATGGGTTGTTCTACCCCTGCCCTTTTTGCTAGAAAAATGTGTCCATTGTGTCCTTATTTTTGCCACGTATGCTATATATACCTTTGCAGGTTTCGCTGTATAGTTTCACTGGTCGTTGCTGCATCCATTTGCTCAAATTGCTATATTGTGTATAAGTGTTGCATGGTAGAATGAAGCCCTAAAGAGCCTATCCAAGAAGATGCTAGAGCGAATTGCTAAGTGATTGTGTTTGGTGGTGACAAAGGATGCTACCCAAAATCGGCTCCTGCCCACTGTGAGTGGCAATGGGATGGACCTCGCCTCTGAAAGACGATACAAGACCCAACAAAACGACAACATTTAGCTTCACAGAAGCTTTCTGAACCATGATTGTCATGTTTGCTCGTGTTCGGAGCGTTCTCTTCGAAGTAGTAACATGTCTTGAATTGGAGAAAAAGAACACATCTCTTTGAACATCAACTACGCCCCCATCAGTCCAAAAGTCCAATCTGTGAATCGGAACGTGTGATGTGCTCACCTGGTTCGCCATGGGATTCTCAACCGCTTTAGGCACCCCTGCCAGGCAGACTCGGTTGTGTAGAGCCTTGCCCAAATCATCCCCAGGTGGGTCACTACAATGCCAACCTTCCTGAATATGCGCTTTCGTAAGAACACATATTGTATCATATTGTGCTTGTTTTGGTGTATGTAAGGGCACAATCACTACAATGCCAACCTGTCTGAAACCCTCCAGGAGGGCCACTGCGAGAGCTGCAATCCGGGGTTCCAGCTGCTAGACGGTCGCTGCCAAGCCTTCTCCTGACCCTCGGCGAGGGAGTCTCGTACCTGGCGTACCTGGCGAACACCGGGACCGTCGCGGAGAACACCGGGAGATTTGGAATCCACTGACCCCCCCCTACCCACCCTCCGTCAAGCTACATCAAGCTACAAACCTGCGAAACATGTCGAAACATTCATGGGTTTTTGACCTGGCCCACCAAGTGTGATGTCGCTTTAGAGTGCCAGTGCCTTGGAACTTTAAGGCGCAACTGGACCTGGCAGTGCTTGTCAGAGCTGCCAGCTGCTGCAGAACCGCACTGAAGACCATCAATGTCTCAGCTGCAACCGGGGATTCAAGCTCACTCACGTGGCTCGGATCAGGGAGAGTGGCCGGAGGGCGTCCTTAGTCCTTGGTGCGACGTCTGCACCGTTCATCGTTGGGGGTCAAGTGACGACGTACGTTGTACATTGAGCGCTCTCGTTTGGGCGCCCATGAGCTGACCGGGCATAAACGTTGATTTGTATCGGTCGGTCCTTTTGCGCTTTGGAAGATGGAGACTCACTCTTATACCAGGTGTTCTGTGGCAGTTTGGGAGAGAGACAAACAGTGCTGCAAGTTCTTGTAACAAGCGTCTAACGCACCACACTTGCTTTGCCAGGACTCGAGCTACATCCTCAGAAGATAATTAGGTACCAAACGCAGTTCTTGTAGATGATTGCAGCCGCAGGGTTCACGACTTTGACCGCAGATGGCTAAAGAAATTTGGTCTACCGATTTGCAGGTTCGGGTACGGTATGTATACTAGAGTGGCTTACTCGCTGGGATTGCTTTTGCCAGGGTCATACCAATTTTTACTTGTAAATCCTGGTGATGACAAAAGAGTAGCTACGTTCGCAGGGATGCCTATTGATCTCCATTCTTACAAAAGGAAGTAAACATCCTATCTGTCACCTTGGCTATCCACTGGACTCCTGCAGAAAGTGGGAAAGAAACCCTGTATCCCAGGACTTCAAGTGCATCCCATTCAAGTGCGAGGAGGGCAGTGATGAGAAGTGCCGCATTTGCACCCAACAGGAAGCACGAAGCGCTGATGGCCAGTGCTACCAATGTAATCCAGGAGCGGGCTTCACTGGTTGATGTGTTTGTTTCAATAGTTTCAACAGATTGATTTTGACATAAATGTTCCGCTTTGATCACAAGATGGTCTCAGTGAGGGTGGGAAAGTGCAGCCAGATCATTCCAATGTGGAATGTGAGGGTCAACATGGATTGAAGGTGGGACCTGGTGGACTTCCCCTCATGACCTGGTGGACTTCACCGATGAAGCATCCGCCGGTCATATCGAAAGTTATTTCAAGATCAGATTCACCAAGATTCAACAAGCCCTTGGCTGTTCTTCCAACACTGCTGCTCGAGAATGGTACTACCTCATATTAAACGAACTTCACCATCAATCGCTTTGATAGCATTTTCACAATGAAGTATGTTCTTTTATGCGTCATGAAGAGTGAACCTGCGAATGAATCTGCACGTCACGGTCACGGTCTCAGGATATTACCTCACCATGGACCTCCAATGCTCGCCCTTCACTTGTGACGAGTCTGAGACCTTCAGTGGTCCGAAGTGCCGAACCTGCCGGCCCCAAAGCAAGCGCACTGGAGAGCAGCAGTGCAACACCTGTGGGGGAGCTCAGAGGGAATGAACACGTTGACACACAGTGGTTTCAGAGTAGATGGCACAATCCCCATATACAAGACGTCTTTGGGTGTGTGTCATTTACTCTGAAACCACTGTATTTTGTATCTGGTTTGCACATGTTTGATTTAGATGACAATGAATAGCCAGTTGAAAACGCGAAAGCGGATGAAAGCGCCACAGCCCTTTCAACCATTCCTTTCAGCCATAGGAAACATGAGGTCCCGCGGCCTCCTACGTTGCAAAGTACTGGAGAATCTGAGGCAACGATGGCTATGGCTTGGTGAATGATACCTGCAAGCCATTCACTTGTGCCTTGGTTGCTGAGCTTTGTTTTGCTCTTTTCCAAGTCAATTCTGATTGGCATATCCAAGAGAGGACACTGCCTTTGGATCCATGAGATAGAATAAACCAAGCACACTGTCGGCGTTTGTCTTCACACTATCGAACACCAGTCGAGTCGTCTTCCGTTCTTACCTCATCGGGTCGCACAGGTACGCCGGGCCCAGGTGCCGGGTGCAAGGCCTGCAAGTCTCAGATGTCCATGACGCTCGGCGAATGAAGGGGGACGAAAGATCGTGCGACTGGGGGGGAGGTCGTCCTGGGGGGTTGACTAGTCACGACACAAGCGACACGCGTGTTTTCTTTCTCTTTTTTGTGTTTCCTTTTTTCTCCTCCTCCAAGTGCTTTCCAATTGAATCCATCTTCACACACTTCAAAGGGCCATGTGTAGGATTGTGTAGGGTTCATATATGACCCTCTCTCTCCAAGGAACATGCCGGGTGGATCGGGTGGATCGGGTCCCGGCAAAGAGTGATCAACGTCCAACGTGCATCTTCAACACTCATCGATGCACCTGGAGTGCCATCTCATGTTGGATTTTCCGCGATGAAACGCAGTCGGGTGGGAGGTGACATAGTGATTTAGCAAATAGAAAGGACGACCAGGAGCTGCCGTATGCATGCCTTGACTGGACTTCAAGGCAAAACGAAAAGGGGTGTGCAATGAGCACACGTGGGTGGATTGCCCTTCGCAGCGCTCTGTGGATGGTAATTTGGAGTTCGCAGAACCTACAAGGTTCGTACATGTCTTGGGGGTTCGTATGGGTTCGTGGAAGACTCCTTTATTTAGTGTGCGACTGCCCAAAGGTTCGTTCTATCATGTTCTATCCCTGTTTGCTTTCGCAGAAATCCTTGCGAATACAAGTCAGATTGGGCTACGGTTTGTACCAACTTCTACTGCAACCCTCCCAAAAACCCACGGTTCAGCTTGAAACTCCACACAGAATGACCCGCGAAACTTTGGGTCCGGAAACCACCCCGAAACACGACCACCTGCGGTCCGAAACACCCGGCTGGGGAAACCCACCGAACCGACGGAGCGACCGGTGCGGAGGACCGGCTTTGGTCAATGCGCCGCGTGCAACGACGGATACACCTTGACCTCGGAGTCCACGTGTCAGCTGGGCTCCGCACCGCGGCGCAGAATCCGAACGTCGGAGACCGGGCGGGGCGAAGGACCGTTGGGAGGAAGACCAGTGGGTCAACTGCAAGTCATTGAGGACGAAGGACAGAAAGGAAGTTTTAGATTTGTCAGATACCAGACCTTAATGCCTTAGTGGCATTTACCATTTACAATCTTTCAGATTGTCCTTCCAATCACCACCCTGACCTTGCACTGGCATGTACTGCTTTGGAACCTGTGGCCGGGCGCCGGGCACTTGGATTTATTAGTAGGATATGGGACGAAGTGTTGTTTCAAGAATGTACAACTTGATCATCCCTGGCGCATTCGTGACTACATGCGGACTACATGCATGTCGTGACTCACTGGCATTCCCTTGACCCTTAAGCTTAGTGGCGCTGGCATGAGGTGAGTTACAACAGGTACTTCAATTTGTCCGTACATGTGGGTCCTCATCTAACATAGAGCAAGGGCATGCACCAGCTTTGAAGCTACCCTTCATTGCGTTTTCCCGCGAACCGCCCTGAAAAAACGCAAGCAGTCCTGTGTGGGAAAATGTCGATGTTTCTAGTCCCCCCTGGGAGTGTGCGGCTTTTCCACATCCAACTTGCCCGACTCGACTGGTCTCAGGAAAATTGGGCCTCCAATAGCAAGGTCCTTCGAGCTTCGGCTGGAAGTCGGGCCAGCTGTTCATCAGTTTGCTCGGGTGTATGGGTCCAAAGGAAGGGGTGTTCGTTTAGTTTGTCCAGCTAAAGCTTTAAAACAGGAATGAGATCGAATGTGTTCACCATTGTTCACCTTTAAATCATCAGACAACAAACACATAGTATAGGAATTGTATAGGACGGAGAATCCAGGTAAAGTGATGGTACTCGTATTGAACATAGAGGAAACATTATTAGCAATGCTTTATAATATGTTTTAAACATATTTAGTCAGTCTGTATTTGTCATTCCCCAGCAAGCTGAGGAGGGATGCGTGTGCGGTGATGTTTGATCGCATTTGGGGCTTACATCACATGATCAGAAGGGAAGATGATGGGCCTTTCCAGAATCCGCCCTCCCACTCAGCCATCCAACCAACCAATGAAAAGAAACACCGAGGATACGCCAAGCAGGTGGTGCGCGACTTGGTGCGTCATTTGGACCGCAACCTCGACGGCACCATCGACTCCAAGGAGCTCAACGAGGAAGAGATCAACGCTGCCATCCAGCGTGGCATTGCCGGGTGCGCCGGGTGAGTGCCGGGGGTTCGGCGTGAAGCGCCGGTTCCGGGCGGTCTTGGGTGCATGCGCGGTATTGCCACCGGGGTGTTCTCTTTTGGTTGGGGGGGGCAGCGTACAACACGGAGCGGTGTGTGTTTCGTGTGTTTCTGATGAGCACGAGCTTTAAACAACCAGCTGACCGAGTGCCAAAAGCAATGTGTTTAAAGAAGGATAGAGTGACTTCCACCGAGATGCGTTCAAAAAAGGGGTGTTGGAATCTAATCAATTGCAGTACTTGCCCTTGGTCACTTGTATTTTCCCGGCACATTGAAAAGCTGAGAAGTCAGCAGGTTGTTGTGCTGCGCCACGTGAAGCATCTCCCTGAAGCTCCACCGCTCCACCTACATTGGTAGATAGACCTGGGACCCCCCAAACACCTGGAAACCTGAGGTTATTGGAACATATTAACCAGACACTCCGTGTATGGCATATTTATATATATATATATTCATATTTCACAGGATTTCACAAGTATTTTCAGTAAATGTTGCATATGTTGGGGATTTGTTTAAGTAACACATAAAGGGGTATAGTATGAGTACAAAAAACAATAAGTAATGGATATGTTACATACAAAACAATACACCAGGATAGACCCCAGAAAACAAACACATGCAACATATTCTTCTGGACTGCCCCCTGCATTGGCCGCAGCTCCAAAGCACACACAGGAACCTTCTTTACATTGGAAATAAAGCCAATGTTCCGGCTGTTTGGAGGAAACATGTGCAAAGAGCGCGTGCCATCTATGGGATGCTGTATTTCGACTCATAACATGGTTTGTGAACCTGGCGCTTCAGGAATAGATCTGATTGATTCAAACCGTATTGACCTCTATCTTCCAATGGTTTTACGAGCACCAAGACCGACTCTTCAGGGCGACGGGTTGCTGAAAAGCCAGCTCATACTCCGAATTGGTCTCATTCAGTCGAACCATTTCTGGTCCAAAAGCAACGTCACGTTTTGTCATGCTTGGCTACCAAAAGCCTACTAACCCAGGATGCCAAAAAGCCTACCCAGCACCAACAGCACTGGCAACCCAGCCAGCATGACACAGTTTCAAATAGCGGCATACCTTCGACATCCGCTTCCAAAACAACACGTGTCAAACTCTATTATTACATCATCTTCAGGCACTACGGATGTTCACGCAAAGCTCCATCAACCACATCCACAGCTTTGGAATGAGAGCGTGCGCAACCATGTTGGCTCGGCAGTTCGCCAGCTTTCCAAGCACCCTGTCTTCACCACGCGCACGGCCAGCACCAGCACCCAGCACCGGCACGGCAATCTTCTGCCCGGTGGGCTCACGGTGAGTTTCGGTTGGGGTTTAGCGGGTAGCATATATTTATTTGTATACATACTGTATAAATGGAGTGTTTGTGCTTTTTGGTGACCCATGAAAGCACTCTGCTGGAAGCCCCCTCGGCAGGCTGAGAGGCGGCATCATCGAAGGCCAAGTCGATTCGGTGCCCTCCATCGTGTGGCCAGGAGTGATTTTTCGATGGGCCGTGGCCCGAACGTCCGGGAAAAGGTTGTTTCGCTATTTAGTTGAACAGTTTTCCGTGTTGGGGCTTGTTTTCACAAGAAAGTTGGTTCCGTGTTTTGTTCCACTTTTGGGGGGCCCAACTAGATGCGGTGTCGGTTCAACATGCTTGTATGTGACAGGTTCATACCAGTTTCCAGGAATCTCGGGGAGAGTGCACAGGAGTGCAAAGAAAAATCAACCATGAGAAAACAAACACTGGAAGGGGGTCACCGTAACAATCATGATCTTCCAGGCGGGTCAAAAAGGCATGTGCATGTTCGAGGTTTATGTTTGTCAAGGACGAATCCATACGAATCCACATGGGAAGACTCGTCCTTTTTTTGTATAGTTGTGAGTCTTGCACTCAGCAAATTAGACGGACGTTGGCATTTTTTTCCGCCAGTTCAAACTCATCAGAACTCATTTGATTAGTCATAGACTAGATAGTCATAGACTAGATAGTATATAGATTATAGATAGTCATAGACTGCAGGCAGTCATAGACATAGTATGATATTATTGAATTGTAATATAATAATATATATATATATTATATACGGTATAATGCGGTATATATAGTGTTTATATTCTTGTTGCTTTGCATATAGGCTGAGGCTGTTGTTTCGGTGACGCTTTCCTCCGGTTCCATCGCTGCTGCTCGGCCCAAACGGACCCCCCCCGAGGTTTGGAGCCGCAGATGCGGACGGCGACGGGCTGCGCCTCGGTCGAAGCGGGCTGGGCACGGTCCAACGGCTCAGACGGGGGTGCCGAACGAACGGAGGAAGTCCGGGGTGCCCCTGTCACCTCCACTCACTGGATGGGGACTGAAAACCCCGAGCGACATGTGACTCCTGGGACACTGATTTGGATGCTTTACTAGGGAGAACCCCCTCATCGCCACAATGGGTGGTCCATTTCCCGAAGCTTCCAAAGGTTGTTGCCTGGGAGGTCTCGCTATTTGAGCTACACGTCCATGTTTTTAGCGCTGAACGATTCACAGGTTCCACTGCAGTGATGTTTGTGTCAGATGTTCTTTGGTGATTCTTTGTTGTGTGGTTGAACAATCCTTAGATTGTGCTGAACAACCACCCAGCAAAGGGGTGATGTCACAGGATCCCTTGGATTCCATGGGTCTTTCATCCTCTTTCCTGTGGTGTCCTTTGGCATTCCTACAGAGTCACTTTCTGTGTGGGTTGGCGATCAAAGACATCAGGAACTTGGACATGTTTGGTGCACATGGTCTGTCATAAAAACTGCTTAGCTTGATCTCCCAAGCTGCTCCAAGAAGTCCTTTGGTCAATAGACTCTGGCAAGCAGATGGCCTTTTAGAGGGGATACCAAGATATACTAAGTAGTGAACAACCAATGGGTATATGATACCAAACTGACCGCTCTATATATTACGGTATATCTCCAATTGGACATCATGGCTGGCGAGTGCGATTTGTTTTTGCCACTGCTTTGCAGGAAAACAGGCAAGCCTGAGTGGAACTCATAAGATAGGGAACTTCCTTTAACGTCCAGGGATCCTTTTACATGCTGACTGTGGTATTTGGGACTGTTTGAGTTTGCGGGTCCAACTTCCGGATTGAGAGGTTCTGATTCATATTTGGATAAATGTGATCTGGATTCGATTCCTGCTCAACTGCCACGGCACCAGCCTGTCGCCAAGGCTGTCACGGGAAGAGTTCAAAGCCCTGGAAGCACGGGAACGCGCAAGGAGGAACCTCGAATGAGGCCAGGAGGACTTTGTGAGCCCGGAACAACTGCCTGTAAATTTCTTGCTCGTCATTTTTGGCCTAGATTGTTTTGCCTCTAGAAGCCACTAGGAGCCAGACACCTTACTTCTAGTAACAAGAAGCTACTAGTAGCTCCTGGCATTACACTAGTAGCTAGAAGCTACTAGGAGCAAGGCACCATGTAGCCTTTCGGATGCTTTGGATGCCCGCTACTGTAGGTTTCGGCGTCCATTGCAGTCTGGTAGACTTTGAAAAACCCAGCAGTAAAAGAGTCTATGACCGTCTTTGTGGAACGCAAGAAGCCTACGTTGTACCTCGTATGAACAGATCCCCACAACCATGCAGTATAGGGGGGTTACGTGGTTCACTCGTTCGCTTGCGACCTTTCATGTTTCTGAACTCGAATGCCGCCATGTTGTACGAGCTGGGCGACGGATCATCCGACCCGAGTTTGCACTCCCATCCCCACTGGTACTGGTAGGGCACATCAATGAGAAGCGAAGGTACTGAATCGAAGTGATCATATCAGTGACTACGAGTTGTGAAGGATTTCAAGTTGCGATGAGGGACGACGAGGGATAAGTTCCAGCCATGTGCCTGGGGCTCCATCTCCCTCTGAGGTAACAGAATGCTCCAGCCTGCCCTCAATCGGGGCAGATGGAAAAAGGCTGCAGGATGTGCATGCAGAAGGTTGAACATGGTTGAACAAATCGAGAATTGGTGGATGATCATGATTCTTTGAAGGTGTGTTCTGGCCTTGCAATCTTGGAACCTCAAGGTCTCCTGCGGTAGCCATTCCCACCACCTCTTTTTGACCTATTTTGGTCGATGTCCCGCCCCTTGCATGTCAATTGTGATTCTTGTGATTCTTATTGGCATCGGATAAGAACATGTACCAAGATAATATATGGAAAACCATGGAAAACTGTGTATATGTTTGTATATGCTTGTTATGTTTTTCACGCAATGTCCTATTCATAGACCAAACAACAAAAAGCAACCACATCCCGGAAATGTATCATGCCTGGGACCATCCAGAGAGATTCTTCACAGGAAACGGGTGCAGAGTGCAGACAGGGAGAACCTTAATGATCCTAAATGATCCTTAATGTTGGTCTCCAGGATGGCCGCTGATGATGGTCTCCATGTAACCGCAGCACCCCACGAAGATCATCACGAGTTCATGCGATGTCAAGTGATCGGGGATGTTCTGATGCGGGTGTCTCACCCTTCGCCGTTCAGGCTCAGGCTGTCGCGTTGTTTTTTTTTGGGGGGAGGTCGACCATATTTTTTGCTTGCTATGGCCTGGGGCCTTAGTGCGTCGACATGGAGGCGAAGGAAGCTGACTTTGGGTAGGTTGAACGATGGATGTAAAGAAGCCCTACAGCATTGGAGATGTACCTAAGGACATCCGAGAGTCCAAGAACTGTCAATTGTGGGACAATACTGCGGCGACCAGCAACCCTCTCTCCAAGAATCACAGGTTCATCGTAAAGCCACGACAAGCCCAGTACAGTCGAGTCACCTGACTGATGTGTCTAAAGTTGGTGGCAGAATTTCTACAGCGCTCCATTGGGATTGACACGCAGGAAGCGGATGTAAATCAATCAAACCCACACTCTTTCCGGTCTAGCGTTCCATTGGTTTTTGCACTCTTTGGGTCGGCTTTTTGGTGACAAACCTTGATTAGGTATCAGCGTTCCATGGTGATGTGGCATTGAAACAGTGACCAGGGATGACTGAGGGATGACTTTGTCAGGTTCCTGTAGTCTTGCAAGGGGCCGATGAACATCCTCTTCCATGCGGAGGAGAGTCCAGCAAAAGTTTTGTTGTGAATGTTTTCAAGCCCCAGGGGCGCCAGGATCCAAAGCACACAGATTGGGTCGGATTTGGCTCGTTTGAAAGGAAGCGGAGTATCTTTGATTTGGCACTCCCACCAACGGGCCCTCAGGAACTGTCACATGGTCATGGTACCATTATATATACCGATTACTCGATTACTGTAGTTTCTTAGAAAGTACACCCCTGCCATCTATTCACCACTTGCACATGTGCACCGCGCCTACTTCCCCACTCATGTACACCAACCATGCACCTTTTGCCCAGATTCTGAGGCGGATGAGGAGAGGATGCGGTGGAAATGCTGGGAGAACATCGAAACCAGGGACAGCAGGTGCTGTTTTCCCTCCATCAATTGGGGGAACATTTGTTGCTCTTAGGTGACTGTGTTGCGATCTCCCCCGAAGATTGGCCAAATCTGTCATCCGGAATAGCAGAGTCCCAAGTCCCAAGCCCTCAAAAAGGGCCCCTGACCAATCACACAAGTAATTCATGGAAGACATGACTCATGACTTTAGTGGAGGTTCATAAATGGAAATTGTTGGATTGTTTTTGTCACTTTGCATCGTCCAATGAACTCCGTTGGAAGGAGGAAGCCATTGAGACATTGCCAGATGAGGATAAGGCCACGATCTTGGGGAATAGTTCCGGGGGACAACGCCAAGTTTTTGATTCCTTTTCGGGAGGCGTGTAAACAATGCTTGGAAGACTCCTACGGGCTAGTGTAGGTCAGTGTATGTTTGAGATTCTGACTGTAACATGGCGCAAACGAGAAACATGCTTCCTCAGGTCGGATGATGAGAAGCACAAATAAATGATGACATGAATTTGGGTAGTGCTACAGTGTTCGTAAGATTTCATAACGCAACGAAGGCAAGCAAAAACGTGTCCAGCACGTGTGGAGAACGAACGCTGCCGCACTGGGACATGGTGCTATCCCTTGGGGCCAACTTGGCGCCTTGTTGTTTTTCTTTTTCTCAAACAGCTAGGCTGATTTGCTCTCCAAGAATGTGTTGGCACTCACGAATAAACAGGTTCTATCGAGATGGCTTTTGATCACGTTTGATCCATCGAGATGCCAACATCCCTGTTTCATCACGTTTCTCCACGCTGTTGGCCTGCCTGCAACAGAACAACGACGAGCTCATGCGTGCCAAAGTGGCCAAGAAGATCAACGGGAAGGCAGCCTGAGAACAGCAGCTTGATCACACAGTCCACAATTGAACATTAATTGTAGCTTAAAGTCGCTGGATTCATCCTTGGTGATAATGATCCCAGTTGGACCACCAACCGTTCAATGATACAATGCATTATCCACAAATGACCTGACCATGTTTCTCAGACCTTGTTGTGACTTAAGTCCAGACACCGTTTCTTCCCGCAGATGCCCCAAGTAGAAAGACATCAACGATGGATGAAGATGTGCTTGGAAGACCGGCCTACTAGGCCCAAACTCTGTGGTTGATTGGACATTCATGTGGTTGCATGGCATGGACCGGCAGCAGCATGGACCTGAAGGAACAGCTGAAGAGTCAGCACCTGAGGGCATTGAACTCTGACAGTGTCCAGCGCATGGGTGTGGCGGAGCTGAAGGAATCCAACGATGCTGAATTATTGTCGGTTCACCTGACCGAGAGTTGCTTCAGGATGAGCCCAGAGATAGCACCAGTGTGGGCGAGGTCCTGGAGGCCTACATGTTCTTCCTGGCTGGTGCGCAGAAAGAAGGTGGATGCCACGAAGAAGCAGAAGCAAGAGACGGAAGACCTGAAAGCAATGATGTTTGTGAGCTACATGTGCGTGTTGGGTGAGAAATGCCCTGCCTGATGGAGAACCTGCCAGCCCTGCAAGCGGTGGACGACCGTCTCCAGGTGCACCAAGCCCAATGTGCTTTGAGTAGAGCACATTGGGCATGGTTCGCTTGGAGACAGTTGTCCACCACATGGTTCATCATCAGAAGAATACCAGTGGTATATCAATGGTCCTTTTGATTTGCCGAAAGGTACCTAGGCTTTGGACGATGCATCCATTCCCCACTATTTCTCAGCTAGGCTAGGCCGGCTAGGCTAGACTTCCCCCTGACCTGGAAAGCTGCAAGGCTGACCTTTTTTTCATCGGCGGAGCATGTTTTTTTGGGCTCGGGCAGAAAAAAGCTCCTGCAAGTCCTATCGAAGGGGCGGGTGAGTCCAGACTGAAAGATCTCACTTCAGAACTTCTTAGATCCTGTCGACTTGGATCCTTTCTGATCCTTCATGATCCTTCGCTCGTTTCTTCGCTCGTTGGTCTAACTGCCCCCTTTTATATACGCACATCATCGCCAGTTGGAGAAGGGCGTGGTTGAGGACATCGAGGCACCAGATGACCTGACCATGGTGGGAAAGTGATTTCGGGTGACTAGTTCAACTTCTGGGTCCTGGTGGCTGAACATGATGTTTGGGGTCCTTTTCGTGCGGTTTGTGCGTTTTCTTTTGCAGGTAACACCAGTGCCCCCAAAGTCAGAACAACATCCGTTTAAGACTGTATTGTGTACTACATTGTGTAATTACTTGTGAGTGGTCATTCAGTCCAAGCAGACAAACTTTGGGGTGATCACGGGTATTAGTTTCCTTTGTTTTGCCTAAGAATGCACTGTCTTTTCTCTTATCGTCTTTGAAGGTCAAGAAGCATCAAAAAGCGGCGATTAGCAAGTGAGGCTACCATGGCTTCCCACCTAAGTGAGCTTATCTAGTTTCCTTTTAGCTTCTTGTTACTATAGTAGTAAGAATGCTCCTATAGTAGCGATGCCAGGAGCCCTAGTAGCTTCTTGCTCCCCAGTGATGCAGATGAAATCATCGACCCAAAAGACATGGATGAGACCCGATACATGCGAGTCCAGCATGGTGATACAATGATCTATGATCTACTATATGTCACATGTAGAGAGTTGGTTGAGTTGATTACTTTCTTTCTCTCCACAGTCCTGGCGTATTGGGTCCCAGACACCCTGCCGACCCGGTGAAATCCGGGTTCATCCCGACCCAGAAGTACTTCACTTCCATCAGCGGTGAACCCGAACCCCGGGGTTCACCTCACCCAAAACCCCGAGGAACACCGTAGACGCGCTCGTTTTGACTTCGCGATGTCGCGATGCGCGACAGCGACCGACCTCCTTCCGCTGGAACGGCACCGGAGCGGCGGACGTCAGGTCGGACAGATCTCGCGGGATCGCCTCTATCGCATTCGGTCGGGGTTCCCATAAAGCGGTGGAGCCGGATGGCAGTGGTGGAGCGAGACACTGGCGCGAAACACAGGTGTCCTGCAAAAGCTGCGGTTGGGACCAAATTCACTAAGATTTGAAAGTAATTCTAGAACATTGGCTGGCTTTTAGTACAAGATTACAGTCAAGCAGGGGACCTAATCAGAAGGCTGCAGGGACATTGATTCCCTCAGACCAGACATCGAACATAGCAGCAGCGATATCAGTGGCCGCAGCAACAACGACAACGGCAGAATCTGAAAGACATTGAAAATATATGAAAATATCATTGCTAACATATTAATATATTTGCTTACAACACTTGACGACAAAATCAGTAACAAAGACTTCCAGCAAGCACCCCGAGCAAGAAACCGCAAGCTTCAAAATCGTCTCCAAACATGGCTTTCAACCCAATATAACCGCCAACCTAGAATCATGGCCTCCAACCTACTACAACCTAGAAGCGATGGCCTCCAACCTGCTAGCGATGGCCTCGAACCTAATAGCGATGGCCTCCAACCAAATAGCAATGGCCTCCAAGCTACTAGCCATGGCCGATGGCATCCAAACTAACAGAGATGGCCTCCAACCTAGAAGCGAAGGCCTCCAACCTAGAAGCGATTGCCTCCAACTTACTAGCGATGGCCTCCGACCTACTGGCAATGGCCTCCGACCTACTGGCAATGGCCTCCGACCTACTGGCGATGGCCTCCGACCTACTGGCGATGGCCTCCAACCCCAACCTTTCAGGCCCATAAGATGTGTCACTCCGAGCTGCTCAGCTAGGTACGAGGACGGGGACCTGGAGCACATGACAGAGGAGGAGGTACGCGGTGTGGTGGTCGCCCGGTGCCCCAGGGAGAGCGCAAGACGGGTCCATTTCGGAGGTCGGACGTCGGAGCAGTGAGGTCAAATGGAATAGTTTTTTTCTTGATGCCGGATCATGAGGTACTCGCAGCAGGAAGGATGCACGTGGAGTCTGTTTTAATTGAGTCATAAGAATAGCTGCTTGGCTCCAAATACAGGATCCCACAGCAGTCAGCGAATTGTTTATAGTTTGTATGGCAATATTAGTATAATATATTAGAGTTGATCTTATGTCCGTGTAAGGGGTTTTATGTAAAACGACCTTTTAAATGCTGTCCTAACCATCCGCAAAAGTTCCGACAAGTATATTAATGACTTTTCTCGCGAAAGATTTATCGGAGGTCTTCTATTAGTTCCTTTCTACCGAGCGACAAATGGTGGAAATGCAAGGCAATCCTATGTCAGAGCCGGTGGGCGGAAGTGTCTCCACATGTCCCCACTGTCACAGACTAACGAACTGAAGCCTCAACGTTCCTTGCCCAGCCCTTGCAGCTCGTAGAGGATACCCTGATTCCAGTCTCCACTGTCACAGACTAGTAACCTGACAACTTAACTTATCCTTGCACAGCCCTGGAAGTGCATGCAGGATTGTTTTTCTCCAAGGAAGCTCACAAACTGTAACTGCATCACCCTGGCACAGCCCTGACAGTGAGGCAAGGACCTGCAGCTCTGACAGGCTTGTCATGCCTTCTCAGATCCCCCTTGCTTGCGCCATACTGAAATCCTAGGGGTAGACGGCCAGAATTCAGAAAAAATAACTTTCGAAAACAAATCAAAAATAAGGAAGTCAGGTAGGACCCCAGGAAAATACACCAGAAATGTGGCTTTTTTGAAATCCTTTTGCTCAAGGTTAGGCGCCAGGATTCCAAAAACACGTTAGACTACACGATTTTACTAAAGCTGTAGGATTTCACAAGGTAGAGATGCTGGGGTTGGGCTAGGATTTTAGAGATACTGGAGAGGACGCTTTTTGTGGACAGTTTTTGTCAACCTCTTGCTGTACCCCTGCTCCGAAACGCACAGAGAAGCGGCACAATGCAACCAAACTTTCAAGCGCAACGACACCCTGCAGCGGGACCAGCACCTACGCTCCAATGCGCACACGCCCACGCTTTTTGCAGCCTGGAAGCTTGTATCCATCGAAAAAACATGTCCAGGGGGGATTCGAACCACAACGTCACCGAATCGCCTAGTGGCACCACAACGTCGCCTAGTGGCTAGTGGTGCGTATGGGGCCATGTAATCAAGCAATTTAATTATTAACAATTTACAGGCACATGTTTTTGGAGTGGTAGCTGACAGAGACTTCGGGCCATGTCTTTGCAAACACCAGAGCACCATATATGTATAAAGTATAAACGTCTTTTACTTTTACCATTTGCCAAGTAAAAGATGTCTTTCACTGAGTCAAGGACGTCTTTTGCTTCGTGTAGTTGCCGTTGTAAAAGCATCACCCTGTGTTGGTAGCTGGCACTTGGGTTGAGTTGTGCCTGACTCTATTCTATTCTAAGCCTTCTTCAGGACTCATACTGTTTGTCGCGCAGATGTCGCACAGATGCTGCAAGTGACCCTGGGTAGCTGTGGCAACTCTCATCCTTGTGCTGGGGTCATGCTGCATATAGTTCCAGCTCATGTTAACTAGACATGGTCTTAAAGTCTTAGGACCATGCTTCGCGATGAGGCTGCGAAAGATACTTGTTGGCTCTTGTTTCCATGGAGGATTGCCCTTCCATCATGAACACATAATTACATACTATTGATTATTGATCAACCACCGTATATATACAATATCATTGGACCTTCAAAACCATGTCCAATCCACATGTTGGTCAGAACCTTGAAGCTATCCATCTACACTCCCGACGGCTCACATGGACCCAGGAGAACGTGTTCAATGCCTCTACGCTAAATCCTGGCAGAACCTTTCCAACAAACCATCCTCGATGTTCTCCATCATCGCCACTCACCCTTTTCATTGGTCTCAACGTTTTGAGGCACTGGCCGACCCCGCTGAGAGGGTGATGACGGTGACCGGTGCGAGCGAGGCCGGAGCAAAAGCAAACCCTCCCGAACCCTCACTGGATCCTGCATGACAACCTTGAATGGGGTAAATTTACATAAGCAACACACCCGTATCACATCATACTCCTGGCAGCACCTTCTTCTTTCACATGCAAAAAACATGTCTATATAATCTGTATTTCCCGCCTTCGTTCGCAGCCATGTCCATCAGTTTCTCCATCACCAAGATGAGGAATTGCAATTAATTCTGGAAGTCGGAACAGCATCATTGTTCATGAGATGAAAGAAGACGCAGTATCAAGAATCAACTGCATTGGGATGATGAAATCACACGTGAAACCCCGTGAAACCGTGAAACCAACAAGATGTCCATCTTCCTGGATCATATTTTACTCCGCGATGAGGAGAGCGGAAGTATTCTCCTCTCTCCGAATCACGATTCAGTTACGCATGGTGTCCGCCACACTGCAAAGCATCGGAGTTGGAGCAATGCCAAGCGGATTTGAACACTCCTGGATCACAACACTGAGCTTCTAGCAGACGCTTTCCAGAACTGCCCTAACATCATCTCGCGATCCGTAAACACAATTGGTACTCAATGCTTTGAATGATGTATTTCGTTAAGAAGACTCTCCATACTTGGCTCAACAACGCACATAGTTGCCTGAGTCATACTATTTTTCCATATATAGTTTCTCAATTGCGGGTAGTCATAGGACCGACATTCGGTATCCTTTTGACTACTCAGTACTCAGAACGTTTGTACCTGGTTGGTACCTGTGACTTGGGTAAACGTGGCTGGGCCACATTAGCCAAAGCACTTTGAAGAAACATGTTCTGGTCGCATCTTTACTTTGAAAAAGCGAAGCTGACCAGTCCTGTCAAAAGCTGAATGTCTAATGCTGAATAACTCAAGAACACTCAGATTCCAGATCCTGCTAGTTTTTGCAATTCTTTCCCCCTCTCCGTCATGGCCATTGGCCCGGCTTTCAGGAGGCGGCCGTGCTGAAACGTCCGGCTGCCAAGGCTCTTGAGGCAGGGTGGAGTTTTTTTGTGTCGTATCGGTGTGAATCATGTGAATCTGAGTTGTTCGGAAGCACCTGAAAATGGCACACAAATTCTGCAGAGGATTTCCATTTGCACAGAGGATTGTTCTTGTCATTGTCGTGCCTCGCTGTTCGATTGTCAAAAAGCGGCAAAGCTGGATGAAACTCGGGTGACAATTCCCAAGCGAAACTCTTTTGGGTGCCATCAGCGATTCCGAATAGTACTTAAGAAGCTACGAACGTAACAAAGGGCACCGCTGCGAACGGAGCGATCGGGCGCTACGAACGTAGCTCCTGGCATTACTATGATTATACTAGTAACAATCAAGCTACGAACGTAGCAGTAGCTAGTGGAACTTCGGTGCTTCGTTGCTCTCTGACTCTATTCGGTCATTCGGTCAGAGGTCGAGGTTCTTTCCGACCGGGCGGTCGCATCGGGCGGAAAGCATCCGAAAACACCCGTGAGTTCGGGTGAGATGGTCACTGCCAGGTGGTGGCTGAGGAGGATGTGGAGATGGGCGTGCTGAGCTCAAAGATGTGGTTGAACGGAACTGGGCTAAGGACTGAGAACTCCTCTTTCGCAACGGCGAACACAAAATTTGCATTCCATTTCATCTAGAGATTTGGATGTTGAGTCCACGCAGTAGGAGCATCTATCCTTGAGTAAGAGCCGCATGGTGACAGAGTGGAAAGGACTGCAATTTGGATGTTACCCACCTCGCCTTAATGGTTGGATGTGTTTCGTTCACGTCATGTCGCATTAGTGCTATACAGATTCAGAGTTGGGAGAAAAAGCACGGGGCGTTGAATGCATTCGGTCCCAACAGCACTCCTCTTTAAGAATGTTGAATGCATGTTGATTTAATGCTTTTGTGGTGCTTAATCGGCAATCTAGCATCAATTACTGGTAACTGAATTTCACTATAGAAAGGGAATAAGGGAATAGTGTCATTACGACTGCCTGGCCTACCAGCAAAAAGCAAGATGAATCACCCGCATTGACAGTTATAGAGACTCTTTCTCGGACGAACCTTGAACCTTGGTCCAGAAATTCTGTCGAATGAACCCCATGGAGGCAAAAATACATATTCCAGCCATTTCCAGCCTATACTGCGCAGTGTTTCTCAGGCTAGCTTCCCGAAAACGATTTTCAGGCATCCGACACACGTCATGCGACACACGTCGTGCGCCACACGTCATTTGCCCGTGACTCGTGACCGAGGCGCCTGTGGAGGCGGCCATTTTGGGGGCCGGCGAAAGAAGTTGCTGGGGACGGGAGAGAGGGTCTATTCGATCAACCAGACAGATTCATAAGTCTGATCCATAAGTGATCCAATAGATTTAATGGTTCTGGCAACCTGTTTCCCGTGATCAGCAGATTCTGGGAACGGAGTCGTGATCCAATTGTGATCGAACTAAGTCTGCAGACTCCCAGCATCGATGGCTTCATGAGGTTTCTGTTCGAATAGGCCATCCATGACATGAGATGAGGATTCCTCCTCATCTCACTCGTTTCGTTGTGTTTTAAAAACCGTGAAGTCGGTTCTTTCCAAGTTGGGAGATCATCACCACCTCGTAGCTTGGAATTGGACTGCAGATCGGACTATTGCTGATGTTAAGATCCTCCCCAAATAGGATTCTAAAAGCATCCCTGGAGTAACAGTTTGTTTGTGTTTTTTGTTTTAAGGCTGACTCCTATACTGTCCCGCGTTCTTTGATTCAATAATATGATTTCGTCAAATGATGCTCGCTTGGTTTTGCTCTCCTGGCAATGCCGCCTCTTCGGACTTCGCCCATCGGACATGCAGGATGTGAGAAAGAAGCCTGCAGGTGACTCGTCAAAACACCGAGAGGTTTCGGTGTAGAGATGGTTTCTGGGTAGAGTATGAAAGGAGCTGGGTACAAGAGCTGACAAGAGCTGATGTAGATGTATAGTAGAGAACTATTGAGAAGATCAAAGATGATGAAAGGATGCATCAAACGGAGTCCAAGGCTCCAGTATTTGTCAATTCTGACAATGCGAAGCCCACATCCATGCAAGGTTGCGCATCCATTTTGTCATGTGTTGCGGCCTAAATATGCGTATTCTGTCGGTTGTGTCACCAAAACTCTCTTGTTTTGAGATAACTAGCGAATAGTGATATGACCAGGTAGTAGGTCAAGTTATAGGTAGAATCTATCTTCTATTTTGACATCAAGACGCAAGGAGTTATGCCAACAACTGAGCGACACTCCTATATTTCTCATTATGCCTCCATCCGTCTCACATGCAGTTGCACTGTTGTTACAGTTGTAAACTATTCCAGGGGGTAGGTGAGAAGGAGACCCACTATATTATAAGACACTACACACATGCTGTTGACTCAAACATCTAGAACACATGGAAGAGTTGGAGCTGATCCATCCAGTCATCCAGTCACCCCATTGTCCTGGAGTAGAAGCGACCACCAATGGCAGCTGTTGCTTTTTCGGTGGAACCAAACCGAAAATCCACCGAACATCCTGGTAGGTTGACCTCATTTGACCTCCTTGTCATTCCGTTCTATTTGTTTTCCGTGGTCAGCCAAGGTCTCTCGGTTTGGACTTATTGCCATTAATATATACAGGATATGTGTATATATATAATATATATATATATATATTGGGTCCATGGAGTGTGTAGCACGAGGCCGATGAGCTGAAACATCGGCATGGTTTGTGGCCATTGGCCTGGCATCGCAATGGCCCTTGCAGATTCATCTCATGGCTTTGTCTCTGAATAGGAGTTCCTGAAGCCATCAAAATTCCAAGGGATACAACATACCTCGATCATCATCCAAGGCAAAGTCTTTGCCTTTTTCATCTATCAAAGGCTGATGTGTTGCATATTTGGAAGATCTGGGCATAGCAGAACATCTTGGGAGGACTATGTCATTCTGCCAAAGCTCCGCGCCCGTGCTGCGGGCCAAAGCGCGTTCGAGGCCGAGCGAAGGCCAAGGCGAAGGCCGTAGATCCGGTGGTGCACGAAGAGGAGGAGCTTCGTTCCGGCTTTCGATTTCTTTCCGCTTGCTAACATGGAAGTGGAACAGACGCATTTCGGATGCATTTGCCTTAACCGCCATCACAGCTTGATGTTCTCCCTCATGTGCATTTCCTTGACTGCATTGACCTCCAAATGAGAGCGGCCGTTTGTATGTATGGGTTTGCCAGACTAATACGTAACTAATAGCGCACACCGGCCCTTTGCCTTCGGAGTGGTGTGCTGCCCAACCTCAAAAACTAGGTGTCGCAGCCGCAGCATAGCAGTGATGGGCGATCACTGAAACATCCCTGAAAACCAACCCAAAATCGTTTGCTGGGGAGTCCTCCAAGGAGCCTCCAGAAGAGCCTGCTGTGCTGAAGAGGCCTGCAGCTGCTGAGGCTTGGCACCGTGGTTTTAAGGCATCACCTCGCTTGCTGATGACAGGTTGGAGGGACGTCTTGGGGTGAGAGACTAGCAATAACCTCGATGTTTCTGGCTTGCCGCTGCTGGCCACCACTCCCAAAGTTCCCGGACGACTTGGTGCTGGTGTTATGGTGTTAGGCTTCAGGAGATTAGGCGGGGCAGATGACATTTCTGCTGTTTCCAATGAGATAAACTGCAAACAAATACTGGGTGGTGGTTTCAGCTGGTTTCATTATCAACCTTTGCTTGAGATGATTGAACCCACTGACTAATAGTTTTTGAGTGTAAAGTGATGCTTTGGTTCATCCACGGCACTTTGTACTCTGTTGCCAGACAATGGAAGACGTGTCAGAGAAAACTTCCTGAGCTGGTCATGGGCATCAGACATGTGTTTGAAAGACTCGGCGGAATGCTGGCCCGAAGTGGTACCGAGAGCCAGGAAGCATAGATCACGTCACACCGTCAGCACTACCCCAAGAGATTCCACATTTGAGCGCCTTCATGGGTCCAAATCAAGAGTCGCTTTCTTGATGTTTCCCTAATAGACATTCTGAAATCACCCAGTAATCCAGCCAGATTGGGTGGTTGGGTTCCACTCTTGGTTCCTCCATAATTTGCGTTCTCCGGGAACCTGTGGCAGGCAGTTGAGGAGGAGCCGGAGGAAGGGATGGAAGTTGAAGAGGAGGTGCAAAGCTGGGAAGGTTGCGAACGTTTTCGGGGGGGTGTAGAAGTGCAATGATCACAGAGTTGGGTGAAAGCAGCTTGTTTTCATCCTTCTGGAGGAATTCGATAAAGGGGAATCCAACAAAAACAATCAAAGTGGTCACTTGTTTCTGTTTTCTTCTGTTTTTTTTTTTGTGTGTGTTTTTTTTGTTTGTGTGTCGGATGATTGGCATTTGTTTGACTCCAGGGTATGACCGAAAGTAACTGTTGGACGGTGGGACTTGATCCGCAGGTGGAGGTCGGAACGTTGAGATCCTCCATGCCGAGTTTGGAGGTTTGGAGCTTGTTCTTTGACTGCATAGTCAATCATAGTCATGCATATTCCATATTGTGGGTTAAGTCGCGCATACCTTGCCATCCTTAGTAGGTCTACCCCTCGTTCCGTTGGACTTCCAAGGCCAGGAAGTTCAAGGAGCTGTAGGGGTTGCCAGGTTCGAATGTCATGAGAGGGTTCGAGTCAAACTGGGGCGGTTTAGTGGTTTAGTCAAGGAACACATACAGCGAGTTCAACCTCAGAACAACTAGAACTTCAAACAACAAGCCGGCTTTGGCTTCTACGGATTTTCTTTGGGGAACCTTGGGTCGTGATCACTATTCACTATTGTGCTGCTCCAGGATCGAGTTCCTTCCCTTGGCTTCCCTGATCAACCAAATCCATATTGAGCTTCATTGGTGAATTGCTCATCCAGTTTCCGGTATTTTGGAACAACTAGCGAGACTAACAAAAAGAACAATTGATCCTTCAACCCTCTCAGATTAACTGAAAATGCCCAGTTGCCCAGACTAGGGAGAATCAGTGTTCCCAGCTCCAAAGGTGGAACTCGCCGGATCTCGCTGGATCGACTGCTTGAACGCCACCCTCAGCTTTGATGTCGACTCACATGTGAAGCCTTTCTGAAGGGATGATTGAGGTCAAATTGAGGTCAGAATCAGAAGGCTAGCAGCCGGTGAAAAAGTGTCAGTGTGCCTGAAAAAAGAAATCCAATGCATGGCAAGCTGCATAAGCTGGAAGGAAAAGAGTGTGGTCACGCAAAAGAAATGCTTGTTTTGCCCAGGAATAATGAGCTACAAAGACTGAGAGTAAACATGCAACATGCCAACATGCACTAGGACCACTAGGACCTTCCAACCGCTAGAATTGGGATGCTGGACCTGATCCCTGGTGGATAAACTACCAAAACAATTCCATTTCAGCCTTGCACACATTCACACCCCGAAACAACACCTCATCCCACTCCCCACTCCCCACAACTCCACGGTCGCCCGTCCCCTCTTTGGCGTCATCTCCGACCAGTCCGCTCGTGCCGATATGCCATGGGGAGCGACGAAGAGAACCCCAGTGTGGTGGGACACACCACAACAGATCCTCGTCCAAGGGGAGCAAGCTTGGCAGTGAAAAATCACGGAGATGTTCAGAATATGCAAAGAGGTCAGCTACTACTCTTTGTGGATGCAGACCGATTGATTATACAGACATGTAATGACATGTATATACAATTGCCCTCACTGTGTGAATCGATGGTCTCATATGATTGTCTCCCATTGGTGAACCGAGGAAGGGAGCGACTTTTCCGACGGCTCCTCGGGCGGCGTGGAAGTCTCTTTGGGTCCCCGGAGAAGAAGATTGTATTGATGTGTGTATTGTGTAATTTATGCGTATTTATATATGCATGTTATAGGCATGTATTATCATATAATATATATATATGTATATCACCACCCCCTTGCGGTGCTTGACCCCCCCGGGGGGTCAAAATTGTAACTTACATTTTTTGATTTCACAACAATAGCATTATATAGCCTTTGGGGGGGGGGTGAAAATTGTAAGATCTAGGGTTGAGGTACAGTAGCCTATGTGAGGATGTTACTTTTTTTGACCCCCCCCTCAAAGAGGTCTTGTCCTACTTCTGGAGACTTTGAAAGGGGGGGGAGGGGAATTGTAAGAATCTTTGGGTGGGTACCACACAGAGCAAATTACAATTCCCCCCCCTTGTCGGCGTTTTACGAGTGTGTTTTGTAATAGCTTTGAACCTCTCTGCTTCGACAGTTTCCACATGCCTTTGGAACATGAGCTTGGGCATCTTGAGCTCAAGATTGAACTTAATCCGGAGATTCTCGCTTTGCTTTCGTGCAGCACAATGGCTCAACCGAGATCAACCGAAAGTTAGAACAACCGAAAGGGAAAGGGAGATAAAGCGGAGGACTCGATGCTCTTGTCTAAGCATGGTGTCCCTGCCACTGTAGATTACAATTCTACCCTAGACATCCTTAAACGACCTGTACTTCTGAAATTGTTGGAGCCATGCTTTCCACAAAAAACATGTGCAACACACACTGTATAGTGCAAACAAATGGCAACCTTACAACTATACCTCTAAAGCAACATGTATCTGGTAAAGCTCTGAAGCCCCTCTCTCTTCCAGATATGTTTAAGGCCACTGTAACCTGGGAAAAATACTACACGGAATGTATTTTAGTGCGCCCACAAGTCCATATCACAATTACAACCTTCTTCTCCGACTATTGAAGCTCGTAAGAGAAATGTTGAAGCCAGCACATGAAAGGACAACACTGCGCAGGGTGTACCATAGCGCAGCCAGAAAGCCTTATTACAATTAGTTCCCCCCCTTCCGCACTGGTAAGGTCCTCCCATAAATGTTGAGGCAGGCACAGCCCAGGAAAACCCCACGCAGCACGCACTCTAGGGTACCCAGCAGGAAATATTACAATTAGACTGCCTTTCCCACTGGCCAGAATCTTCGGGCGCAGCCGCTACGTGCCAACACTTCCAAGGGAAAATGCGGCACAGTGCAAACTTGTGATCAACCGAAAGGGAAATTGTAAGTTACAATTTTGAGGGTGAGGGTCCATGCTTCTACCTCACCCTCCAAAATGTAACTTACAAGTTTTGAGTGCGTGCAGGCCGAACGAACACACACGAGGGTCAAAAATGTAACTTACAATTTGACCCCTGTCTTGTGAGATGGAGGTATGTCAGACCTGTATGTTCAAATTTCACCGTTTTCCAAAATCTGCATGTTGACACACCCGAAATTGTAAATTACATTCTTGACCCACCCCCGGGGGTAAGGTAGTAGTGATATATATGTATATATTATATTGATTTATTATACAATATTTATACTGTTTATTAACGGTACGCAGAAGGAACAATAGGGAAAACACATGAACATATCACATGTAAATATGGATTGTGAGGACATGTCCCTCCTTTCTCGAGGTGTCCTCTAATGTTCTATTCGACCGGTGATTCCGCCTTACTGACTTTGCAATTGATATCCAAAACATGATTGACATGGGATGACATGGGAATCCGTTTCTGGATGGGGAGTTACGCCAAGTGGTTGATAGGAAGAACCTGAGTTTGGTTTGGTCTTTTGTTCGGGCACTGCTTGGGCACCGCATCACCTACGTTTGCTGAGCGGTTCCGAGGTTCCGAGAGCTGCGGTTCCGAGGGTCCCAGTCATGGTGACCTGGAAGGCGTCCTGGTGGCCTTCTGTGCCATGGAGTACCGCAACATGACGCAACATGGGGAGGTCAATGCGTGGATGTTTTTGGTTGAGAGGGGTGGAGGACGTGGGACTCCGTGGGACGTGTTTTTTGTTAACTGTTGTGTTCAAAGTGCAAGGTAGCACGTACTTAAAAACAGGTCACACAAAACATAAGGTATCATAATATAGCGATAGCTGTTCTTGAATGGCAAAGATGGCCCATGAGTTTATGAGTTCACCAAGAAATTTCTATGTAAACAGCGGCTGTTTAGGCAGATGTTTGGAGGTCATTGGAGGTTCCCAAATACTTTGAGACCCAACAATTTGAGAACTTGGAAAGATCATGTTGGTGGATTACCAGTGACCAGGACCCTTGCAGACTGCCAAAACATATGACTTTCAGCACATCGGCGTACCTGAGTTTCAGCACATGGCCACAGAACGGCCACATCACGGCCAGCCCGGCAGCCCTTCACCGGCAGACTGTCGGGGCACGCCGAGGACGCCTGAAACGGATCCGCAACGGCCGCATCGTCAAAGACGGCTTGACGCGGCACTTGAATTCAGCCGCTCGGGGGAGCAGGGAAGGCAGGGACCGGGGACTGGTCGTCTCAAAGGGTTGGTCATGGTGCAAGGATCGCAGAACCGGTTGTGGTACCAAGCGTCAGACGGTTCCGGGCCTCCTTCCGTTGACCTCAGTAGTGCTCTTGGTTTTGTTCTATGTACCTTCTGAGAAGGT